CCATTAGCAGGAAACTGGATTTGAAATGGAGCATCCTGGACTCAAACTGGTGCTCTCACACATGATACCGGTGTCTCAGGTGATACTTAATCTGCTAAACAACAATGCTGCCACTCTTAACAATTTTTAATAAACACTATGTCTCATAAACAGCCAAATGAAGAGACCTGTAATAAGTTTGGAAAAGTCTCAAATTCAGAACTTCTGTTCTCTCTCCCTCGCTGGGGAGCCAGATTATGTCACCTTCTCAGCTCATCAATGTGTTTATCAACCAGGAGTTTCTATGAGCTTTGATCTCTAAGGTTTTTATTGAAATTTCATTATCTAGCCATGACTAAATTGTTGACCACATTTGAATATAATCTCCAGCCCCTCTAAGTCCTAACCTTCTAAATACATGGGTGGCATTTAGGTAACCAGCTCCCATCCTGAGTCATATCTCTCAGACTAAACCAAGATTAGATCCAAGGAACTCGACAACATTCCCATTAGTGATGCTCCATGACCTATAATGGTGCTGTATTTGGATAAATCCATCGTAAACTGAAAATACTTAACCTATCAAACATTATGGCTTATCTGCAAGTACACTGTAGAGCATCAATTGTTCATCCTCATGAGACTACCAGACTGATAGCTGGGAAAACATACTTCTAACTTGAAGTATGGTTTCCACTGAACCTGTGATTTTTTTTAAAGATTGTTTGATTGACTGGCTTGAAAGGCAAGTTACAGAGAGACCTTCCATCTGCTGGTTCACTCCCTAAATGGCCACAAAAGCCAGGGCTAAACAAGGTTGAAGCCAGGAGCCTGAACTTCATCTAGGTCTCCCACATGGGTGGCAAAAACACATTTAAGTCATCTTCCACTTCCTGCCCAGGTGTATTAACAGGGAACTGGATTGGAAGTAGAATAGCAAAGGCTTAAATCAGTGCTCATATGGAATGTTACAACTTAGGTGGTAGCTTAACCTACTGTGCCACATGTATTGCTTTCACATCATCATAAAGTCAACTTTGAGTCATTGTGAATGAGATGCCCTCAAAGGTCAGGAACCACCTATACTTGGAAATTTCCAAACATTTAAAAAGGCTTTTTCAGAAACCAACAACAACAAAAAGTTGAATTCTTTATTATACACCAGAAGGGATGGAAAATACCCAAATGTCTATTATATATCAGAAGGGAGGAAATTGTTAACACACAGAAAATGGGAGACAGGCACAGAGTCATACACACACATTCACAGGACTCCCACCACCACTGCCAAATTTTACAAGGACCACCACCCCCACAGAAAAGCTCCAACTCACTCTTCCCCATTCACCTCACACAGGCTCCCTCTTTCACACACACATCTCATGCAGGTCTCCTGAACACCCACATACACCTGCTGTTCCCAGGAATTCTGCCCCTTTGTTCATCTCTGTCTGACCTCTGTGCTACCCCTTTCCCCACCTGTCCCCTTTTTAGTGCACTGATTCAGTTGCTGAGAGAGGTAGATAAAAGCAGTTTAATGGTAAGGAAACCAGCACATAGGTCTCAGGAAGTAACTGGGAAGTGAACACTCGAGTGTGAATGTGTACCTGACACTGTCCATGTGCCCAGCGGCTGTGCCCCTGTAGAGACTGTAAGCCCCTGTGTGCTGTCAGTGCACCTGCAGATTGTGTGCATCCCCAGGCAGTCTGTGCACGTGTGCCTGGGTACCGTTCACAGCCCCAAGTCCTGTGTGAATGTCCTGAGTATCTGGGTGTGCAGATGAGCCTGGGCCCCAGGTATTCCTCTAGGACAGTGCTTGACTGGGCCAGAGCCTTTGGCTGCTCTAATTTTTTCTTTCCTTTTTTTTTTTTTTTAAGATTTATTTATTTTTATTGGGAAGTCAGGTTTATAGAGAGGAGAGACAGAGAAAGATATTCCATCCACTGCTTCACTCCTCAAGTGGCTGCAATGGCTGGAGCTGAGACCATCTGAAGCTAGGAGCCAGAAACTTCTTCAGGTCTCTGATGCAGGTGCAGGATCCCAAGACTTTGGCCCATCCTTGACTGCTTTCCTAGGCCAGAAGCAGGCAGCTGGAAGGGAAATAGAGCATCTAGGACATGAACCAGCACCCATATGGATTTCAGCACATGCAAGGTGAGGGTTTAGCCATTAGGCTATTGCACTGGGCCCCTGGTTGCTCTGTCTACAGTCTGGCCTGGCTTTCCAGGGGAAGACGGTGTGTGTGTGTGACAGAACAACACTACAGCTAAGGCCTTGGACACAAACAGCCTGAATCCCACTCAAGGCTGTGGCCTTTCCTCCCATCCCCATCATCTGGTCCCCCAGCTCTGAGAGACGTCAACTACTCTGAGGATTATTGCTTTCCTGAGGAAATGTCTGGTGCCTTTTGCTATCTCCTCCTCAGACAGTTGCAGGGCTTTTTTTTTTTTTTAAGATTTATTTATTGGAAAGTCAGAAATACAGAGAGGAGGAGAGACAGAGAGGAAGATCTTCTGTCCAATGATTCACTCCCCAAGTAAGCGCAATGGCCGATGCTATGCCGATCCGAAGCCAGGATCCAGGAACTTCTTCCAGATCTCCCACATGGGTGCAGGGTCCCAAAGCTTTGGGCCGTCCTCAACTGCTTTCCCAGGCCACAAGCAGGGAGCTGAATGGGAAGTGGAGCTGCCAGGATTAGAACCGGCACCCATATGGGATCCTGGCGCGTTCAAGCGAGGACTTTAGCTGTTAGGCCATGCTATCGGGCCCAGTTGCAGGGCTCTTAATCCTCCAGGTGGGCGGTGGGGAATGTCTAGGTTCCTCCCTTCCCCAATCACTTCCCCCGCCATCCAGGCTTATAACCCTCATGCTTGCCCAGCCATAACAAGTTACCACACATTACCTTTTTTTTTTTTTTTTTACGATCTATTTTATTCTTATTAGAAAGAGAGATTCACAGAGAGAAGGAGAGACAAGGATCTCTCATCTATTGGTTCACTCCCCAAGTGGCCACAACGGCCAGAGCTTAGCCAAACCACAGCCAGGAGCCAGGACCTTCTTCCAGGTCTCCCACGTGGATGCAGAATCCCAAGGCTTTGGATCATCCTCAACTGTTTTCCCAGGCCACAAAGTAGGGAGCTAGATAGGAAGTGTAGCAGCCAGTACACAAACTAGCACCCATATGGGATGCTGGTGCTTGTGAGGGGATTAGCCAATTGAGCCATCGCACTGTCTTCCGCCACACACACACATATAACTTCCCACTTGGCCTGCGAGGGAGTTGGGTTCTAGAGCTCCCTTCTCTCCAACTCCAGATTCACCCCCACAAAAGCCTAAAGACCCTGTGCGCCCCCTAGACTAGCCCTTAAAAAAACTGCAAAAATCCAAAGTCTGAAGAGGATCTCCACCAAGGCAGGCCTGCCTGGGCCTTTCCAACCCTGCTTCTAACCCTCAGTTCAGACCAATAATCCAATCCAGGGTCCGGCCTTTCTGTCCTCCCCCAGGGCAAGCACCAGAGCTGAGCCAGAGGGAGCCATGTGTGAGTGAAGGATGTGAATCACCCAGCCCTCAGGCACTGAGGACCAGCAGGGAGGAGCAGGTTCCCAGTTCCTCTGTGCCTAGAGCCATCCAGGACAGTTCCTGAAGTGTCCACGTGAGTGTGAGCCAGAGAATGAGTGTGGTGATGGCACGGCTGGTCCTTACCAAGAATGCAATGCTTCCAACACCACCACTTGGCACTTACAGATCTGTCAGCTGCCTGTCGGTGGCTCAAGCAGAGGAAGACTGACAAGAGAGGGAGAAAGAGTGGGCTGGGGGAGAAGGGAGGGACAGCTATCCCTCACATTCCAACATGAGGAAACTCAGCTCATTCATTTCTGGTTACTCCTCAGCAGTCAGCCCAGCTACATGGGTTTTTTCCTCCCATCCCAGACCAACTCGGGCTCAGCACTGAGCCTTGCCTGGGATGGCAGATCTGGGCAGCCATTTCCCACCTCCCACCCCAGTCCATGTCTCCTTGTTAACACTCCTGCAGCTCCTTCCTCTACCCCAAGCAGCCTGCAGACATTCGACTATGCGGTGGTTCTCTGCTGACAAACACCATCTCTGACCCACATACTGAGTTCTCCAGGGGTGGGCACTATGCCTGCCTGTTGCTACACACTCATGCCCAGCTCAGTACCCTGGCTAGCAGACACGTAAACACTTGTTGACTACACGTAGAAAATTACAGAAAGACGGAGGTCAGCTCCAAACTGGAATGGTTATGGCCCTCTGGCCACTCAGTGACTTGGCCAAGGTCTCTCGGCCAACTTCCACAGCCTGGCCTGCTCCATGACTGGGTTCTCTCTGGAATTCTGTGCCGCCTCAGGCCAAGCCTCTGCAAGGGGAGTGAGGCAGGCAAGAACAGCAGCTGGCAGGGCACAGAAGGCAGGAAGGGGCAGGCAAGGATGGGGACTGGGAAAACGCCCCTGGACAAGCCGCCAGGGCTGCAGCCGCGGCCTCGCGCCGGGGAGCTCCAAGGCTGACCCCAGGCCAATGCCCCACGCTGGACCGAGCCCGCCGCTGCCCCTTGGGCGCCGACAGGACAGGTTTGCTCCGCCCCTTCCGGTGATAAGCACATCCCATCCCTAGTGCGCGCCGGGGTCCCTGTGACGCACTGGTAACGGTCCGTTTCCGGGGTGGAGCCAGGGAGGGTGGGAGTTTAGGCTACTCCGACCCCCTCAGCCCCCCTCCAGGTGACCCCAGCCCCTGAAAATCCTCACCCGGGGCCCCAGATTTCCCAGACCCATGACTGCCAAACTTGTCGCCCGGACCTACTAAAATCCCTCAGGGCCCGGAGACGAACAACCTCCTAACTCCTTAACTTCCAATGCTTCCCCCTTATACCCCGTCGAATGTTCCATCTTCCCCTTGTCCGACTGTGGTAACTGAGCAGGCTTCCCGGGGTGGGGCTCCTGCCTCAGGTTACCTGAGAGCTAGTCAGAACTCGTCCTGAAAATGACGGAAAAGGGGGCCTGGGGTTGTGGGGGTGCTCCTTGATCCAATGATGCCGCTCCCCAGGAGACGTTCGGAGCCCAGGACATGTCGGGATTGAGGAGATACGAGGTGGCGCTGGAGGCGGAAGAGGAGTGAGTGGAGGCGGGGCTCTGCGGAGGAGGCAGCAAGAGGCTGCGGGGGAGGGGGCGGGGCGGGGAGAGGGGCGGGGCCTAGCTACCAGGGGCGGGACCTTGCCTGAGGGGTGGGACCGAGCCGCCGGGGGAGGGGCCTTGCCCGAGGGGCGTGACCGAGCCGCTGGGGGCGGGGCCGAGCCGCCGGGGGAGGGACCTTGCCTGAGGGGCGTGATCAAGCCGCCGAGGGCGGGGCCGAGCCTTGCCCGAGGGGCGGGGCCTTCGGGGTCAGCCCCGCCCGTCCGGCCCTGCTTGGTCCTTTCTCTGCAGGATCTACTGGGGCTGTTTCTACTTTTTCCCTTGGCTGCGAATGTGGCGGAGAGAACGAAGGTGAGAGGAGTCCGGGGGGCTGCGGACCCCTCCGCAGGTGTGGCCCAGGCTCAAGTCTCAAAGGAAGGATCGTTGGGGTTGGAGAGGGGGAGGGCGGGAGGCTGGAATCTGGGAGCCCTCGCCTGCCTCATGCCCGCTGTCGGGGTCGCCTCCACAGCTCTGCTCACCCCCGGGAACAGAAACTGGAGCCTCTACGGGGCCTGATGAGTTGTCTGTCGAGTGGCCTGGGTCCTGCTCCCTCGCGTTCCGGTCGTGGCCTCCATTGCCGCACCCCTGCCGCCGCTCCCCAACCAGCAGGTGCATTAAAGATTTAAAGCGAAGCCCACCGTGCTGCCCTCCTGACTCTGCCGTTGGGGCTGTCCGTGTTCCTTATTCCCGAGGCCTCCCTCGCCGATAGGTCTCCTTCCATGGCAGAGCTCAGGGCCCCTGGTGAGGGTCAGGCCTGTTGTTACTGTCAGCTCCTCCTCACCAAAAAAAAACCAACCAACCAACCAAACAAGTGAAACAAAACAACCACCGTCTGTTGCTGCGACATGCCCGTGTGGAAAGAGCCAAGGCAGCCCTAGTCCAGTCTTCCTCTCAGCCTTATCCCCCCCAACGACTGTAACCACTCAGGTGTCTTCCTGGCCAGGACTTGGCCATGTGTCTGAAGAAGCTATTGAGAAATGGACCTAAAACATTTCAAACCAGAACTGTAGGAAAGTAGGTTTGGGGATGGGGAGGAGCTGGAGATTCCTAGAAGCTGCCTCCCTCAGCCAGCCACCAGGGGAGATCGCTGCTTCAGTTAATTCTCCAACTCCTGTCTCCTCCTGTTTGATCTTCAGTTTAGAGATCCTTGGCATACATCCACTTGGAGGTTCTTCCTGCTTCTAGTTCCCAGTCTGTCCTCTGCGGTTAATTAGGAACTAACCCTGCCACCAGAGGACTAAGAGAGAAAATGCCCAGTTTCTGACCAGGCCCAGTCCTAACTTTTTTGCTGTCCCCTGCATGCCTCTACCCCACCCCCAACCCCACGCCTTCCTGCAGCAGGCTGGTCTGGGAAGAGACTCAGCCCTTATTTTTTGGAGAAGCCAAAGGAAAGAGACACACACGTGGAAGAATTGATTTCTCACCAAGTGTGTGGGAGGCACCTGGCTTGGCCTGATGGAAGTCTACGGGGACAACCTGGGGGATTGCCTCCAGATTTCCTTGCTTCTCTACCCAGGCTATGGGGCATAAGTCAATATTTGAGAGTGAGAGAAGGAGGCCCAAAGGCCTCTGGTAATAGAAGTTCAATATGAATGACCTCAAGCAAAGCTGCTAGTGGAGTTCTGTATCCCGTGACATCTTTTATTATAATTTATTGTAATTTTTCTGAATAAATATGTATTGCGTGGGAAAAAAAATAAGATGAGTGACTTTCCTGGTTGTGATCACCTTCAAAAATGTGCCTCAACTCTTGAGCCATTATCTAAAAATCCTTCCATTGGGAAGCTCCAGTCCAGCCCCCAGGGCCCCTGACCTCACCAGATCATTGTCAGGGGACAGATTCCAAAAGGAGAGGCCATCAGGCCAGGAACAAGAAGTCCAGGTCTTGAGCCCAGAGGGGGACTAGTCCTTCTCCTGGGAGCCCAAGTCCCATGTGATTTTTTAAATCAACCCCATAATAGGAAGGACTACCCAGAGAAGGGGTGAGTCCTATCCCAAAAGAAGACCTGCCCCCTCAAAGGCAGAAGGCACCCTACAACAGCCACAGGAGGGCTGCATCACTAGGTGATGGCTCAGTTAATGTCTCAGGGCACAGCAGGCCATAAGGGTTGAAATCCCCAGGCCAAGAGTAGAACATTCTTCAAGGATCCAGGGGTAGTAAACTCAATTTTAAGCCCCCACCCTAAGCATGTCCCAGCTTCCTAGCAAGGACTAGATTCTGGAGGGTAGTATTTTTACATGGGCCGGGAGGGGAGTGGGAAGAAGGGAGTGGGGCTGTGAAAGATAACATGCAAAAGGCATAGGAGATTGGAGACTTGAGTGTTACTCAACTCTGGTGGAGAGCAGGGATGTTCCTCCAGGCCCACCATGGAGAACAGGCTGGAATTGGAGAACAAAATAGAGGTCACTGAATTCTGCAGTCTGAAACTTCAACAAGCCAGGAGCTGAGTCTAGAAACTCCAGGTAGCTGCTGACAAAAACCCCATTCACAGAACAGGACTAGGCAACAATAGATATCTTGGACTTTTTACCTGTTTTATTCTTTTCTTTTTTGGAAAGGCATAATGAACAAGAAGGAAGATCCTCCATGGACTGGTTCACTCCCCAAAGTGAAACCAGGAGCCAAAACTCCACCCAGGTCTCGCAGGTGTAATCACTTGGGCCATTCTCTACTACCCTCCCAGGCACATATCAGCAGGAAGGTAGATTGGAAATGGTGCAGCCAGGACTCAAGCTGGTGCTCCAATATGGGATGCTAGGGACACAAATGGCAGCTCAACCCTCTGCACACAGCAGCGGCCTCATTCACCAGTTTGGACAGCAACAACCTGACACCTAAGAACTTTGATCTTCCCATCCACCTCACCTTCGCACCTCCACCCCAGCCCAGTCTCATCTTCCTTGGGAAAGAAGCCCCCTCAGCATCCCCAAAGCTTCCTCAACATTCCCAAAAAGGGATTCCTTACGATGGTACCGTGGGTTAAGTCATGACTTGGAATGTCCACATTCCCATATCAGAGCGCCTGTTTGAGTCCTGACCACTCCTCGCTTCCAATTCAGTTGCTTGTTAGTGCAGCCTGGGAAGCAGCAGGTGATTAGCCCAAGCACCTGGGTCCATGCCACCCATGCGGGAGACAAATGAAAATCGCAGGCTCCTGGGATCAACTTGGCAAGCCTGCAGCTGCTGTGGGTATTTGTAGAGTGAATAGAGGCTTAAAATAGCTTTAATTTATATCTTTATATATATATTTGAAAGGCACAGTGATATTTTGTATATTATATGCAGTATATTGTATAGCAGGGAAGTGACTTCTGGGAAGTGTATGGTTTCCCAGAATATGACTACCATTAGCTAAAACCTTTCCTGAGCCAGAAAGTCCTGCCTTAGGAACCAATTTCCACTGGTGCTTCTGATAAGGCAGGCCAGGACAGGAAATGGGGAGGGGAAAACGAAGGCAAGTTGGTACTGGCCTGCTCCCTTGTCCCACCCCACTCACAGCTGCCCCCTCAGTCTGTACACTGGTAGGGTTGTGTGTTTGGATGACGATGAAAACACAGCTGGATGGGAGTGAGACTTTGTAATCAGAGTAGTAGGATTTTGTCTGGTCCTCTGATTATGGGCGTGCCTTGGTGAGGCTGAGTGATCAAGGTGTGACTGTGATTGTTTGGCTGTAGACACAAGTGTGAATGTCTATGGCTGGGTGCCACAGTGGCTCCTGGGCTGCCCTTAGTCCCCGCACCATCGGTGCCCCGTACCCTGTACCACCTTGTTCCCCAGCTTCTCTGTTCAGGGATTTGGCACCCATGAGCAATGGCAGTCATGGAAGAGGAAGGGGGTCTGTCACAACAGGCTAAGAATGAGGAGCCAGGAGTGTCACAGGATAAGCAGTACATCTCCACCTGCGTGTGACTCACCTGGCGCCTCAGGTAAAAGACACCTATATAAAAAGTGCGGGAGCAGGAGGGAGTGTGAAGTATCAAGGCTGAGCAGCATGAAGGGGTGTCCACCTAACAGCAGGCTCCTCCTGCTGCTCCTGCTCCTGAGCCTGGACCCTGGAGCAGGTGAGTGCTTGGGGTATGGGAAGTCTGGGGATATGGGTGAACACCATGAGGGGAAAGGGGCACAGGAAGACCAGCTCCTGTTGGGTGACAGCAAAGTTATAGGCCTAGCTTTTTCTGAACGTGTGCTCTGGTGTGCCCCAGCACTAATACTGCCGCCCAGCTCTACCTGCTGTACTCAGCTCTACCGACAGCCACTCTCAAACAAGCTACTGAGGAAGGTCATCCGGGTGGAACTGCAAGAGGTCGATGGGGACTGTCACCTGCAGGCATTCGTGTGAGCTCTAACCCCACCCAGATACTTCTGACCTCATCGCAATCCCAACCCCAGACCCTAATACTTACCCTGACACTGACTCAGGTTTTCACCTGACCCTTGCTCCTAAATCAGTACCTAACCACATCCCTAGGCTGTGATCTCAGCTTTGGAACTTTCCCTTCCCAGGCTTCATTTGGCTCGACGCAGCGTCTGCATTCATCCCCAGAACCGCAGCCTGGCTAGGTGGTTTGAGCGCCAAGGGAAGAGGTTCCAGGGGACTCTGCCTAACACAATTTTGGGGCCTCTACGGAAGATGAATAAAAGCCCTCAATAGCCCCAATAAAGCAACATTAAACAAGAATCTGTGTGATTTCCAAGAACTTGTTTACCCTTTATTTACACCTTCACAACCCTTGTAAGACGCACAGCCAAGAGGGAAGGAGCTGCACACATTCCCCAAGTACCTACACACATACATCCATGCATACATAGAGAGGACATATGTTCCCTGCCTCACACATGCTTAGTCACACATGAACACACACATCCACACCTATACATGTCGCTCAGGTGGACCTTCAACCCTGGAATGCAGTCCATGGTCCAGGCACTTTTAGCTAGCAAGTTTGGAATATAGGATCTCTCAGAAATGGGTCCCCAAGCTCAGCTTTCAGCAAAGACCTCCATCCACAGAGGCCCACTGTCCTGCTTTGGTTTTTGTCCACACCAGCAAGACAGTCATAGGTGGAATCAGCTAAAGCTCTCCTGGGTCCTCTACAGGTTTGGAGCTCCTAGAAGAAGCAGAGGCAAATCATGAGACAGCAGGAGACTTAGATCTGGGCCTAGATAGGCTAAAAACTAAGGCAAAGACCCAGCTTTGACCCAAAATACACCAAGAAAAAGGATGGATATCCAGTTCTGATACTAACAAAATGATGAGGGGGGTTCCTAGGTAGGTATCGTTGGAAAAAGGGTACTTTCATTGCTGAGCCTAGGCACTCAGAATGAAAGTGGGTGCTGGCACTTTGAACTATCTGGTTAGGCCACCACCTCCTACACCAGCATAGTTCCCAGCTGCTCCAGTTCCCTGCTAAGGTCCCTGGGAGATCAGCAGGAGAAGATCCAAATGCTTGGGCCTCAGCCACTCAATTTGGGCCATTATGGTCAACTGGGGAGTGAACCAGCAAATGGAAGATCTATCTCTTTCTCTCCCTCTCCATCCCTCCTTCTCACTCTTTATGTCTGCCTTTGAAATAAATCTTGGAAGAATAAAATGAAAGGCCCAGGCCCGGCACAGTGGCCTAACAGCTGAAGTTCTCGCCTTGTATGTGCCCCAGGATCCCATATGGGCATCGGTTCTAATCCCGGCAGCTCCACTTCCCATTCAGCTCCCTGCTTGTGGCCTGAGAAAGCAGTCGAGGATGGCCCAAAGTCTTGGGACCTGGAGGAAGCTCCTGGCTCTGGATCAGCACAGCACCAGCCACTGCACTCACTTGGGAAATGAGTCATCAGATGGAAGATCTTCCTCTCTAGCTTTCCTCCTCTCTGTATATCTGACTTTGTAATAAAAATAAATCTAAAAAAAAAATGAAAGGCCCAAGCTCCAACCTAAACATAACAATGAAGGCAACAAACTCAGATTCCTAACACCCTTAAATGACTAAGGTACACGGCTCTTATCCCAGACCCTCTGAAAACAGGGGACTTATCTCCAAGTCCAAACCTCCTAACCTGGAAGCTTGTCCACTGGAATCATCGGGGCCAAGAAGCCAGGCTTTGGGGGTCCATCCTTCCCGCTCCGTCTTGGCCTCAGCCTGGAGTGTGAAGGACAGCTGTCTCAATGTAGGACATCCCAGTCACCTCCCACAGGGTTTTTTAGTAAAGATTCAAAGGGAATAGTGAGAATGATGAAGTGGAATGAGGAGGGGTCAGCTGAGGGGAGGTAGCTCCAGAATCTAATAGTTTCAGATGCATGAGGGATGGTTCATGAGGGGTGAGGATGGATGTGGCCCGAGCCCGAGGGACCAGCAGAAGTCACTTACCACAAAGCTAGGGCCAGAGCCCCTACTGCCAGGCCCAGCAGGGAGAAGATTCCCAAAGACACCAGCACAGCCACACGTTCCAGAGGGTCCCTGTGATCTGAAGAGGACCATGGGCCACTAATGAGCCCAATCGAGCTGGGTGCCCCTTCTCCCTTGGGGTTTCCCATCCTGTACGACCTTTGCCCACCCACACAAGCTCACCAAGTGGCCGAGGATCTTGCTTCAGGGGGGACCTCGAGGGAGCTGGGCTGTCCACCTGAGGCTCCCCCTCTGCCTTCGTGTGCAGCTGAGTTCCAGATGGTATCTCTTTTGTCAAGGGCCCTAAAGGAAGGAAAGACCTGCGATGGGGCCATACTAGTGGTAGGTCAGAAGCCAGGGGTGGAGCAAGGAACCTGGCTGGACACAGGGGTGCCAAGGAGGTGGAGTCTGAAAGGCTGCTGTGGCCAATTTTAGGGGTCTTTGCTTGGAGTGGAGGCTTCAGTTGCAGGAGTGGGGGCCAGGAGCAGGGCTTAAATTGGGGGTGAAGCCTAAGATGGCAACTGAAGTGCCTTTGTGGGTACAGCATGTAACAAAGCCACCTTCCTTCTGAGAACTCTACTAGCTCACGAATGCTTTGGGGCAGTGCTTCTGCCCTTTCCTCCTAACTCTCACTTCTCACCAGTGCTCGGAGTTCCCCAGACCTCAGGGCTCCAGGCGCTCCAGGTGCCAGCATCCAGAAAGTCCCTGGCACTGACACGCACAGCGTGGGGCAGCCCAGCTACAGCATCAGTGATCACCTCTTCCAATCCGGTCGGCTCCACCTGTGGGTAAAGAGAGCTCTTCTGAATGCTCCCTGGGCCCTGAGTGCAGAGCCCACCTGCTCAGGTCTCAGCTGCAAAGAGCTCCCATGCTTCCCAGTCCTGTGTCTCCAGCCTGGTGGAGCCACCTTGGGAGCTGGTGGGTTCAGGTCTCCTCTTGGTGCTTGACCTCAGAGCTCCTGCTAAACCAACTTCCTGGTGACCTCTGGGCCTCCCGGTGTCCCACTTTTCTTCATTTGTAAAATACATAAATACCTAAGGAATAATCCTAAACCAGACAAAGTATGTAAAATATGTACTAAGGCACCTGGCAGGCAGACAGTGCTAAGTAAATATTGCTTATCATCTGATGCTGCTGCTCCCCAAATCCCCAGACCTGATGCCAACCAATCTTATCTCCAGAGGGAGGAATTTGCTATCAGCTGAGTTAATGACTGTTTATGTAAAGATGTGCCTCTGGGTAGAAGGCACGCCCTTTCTTCTAGAAGTTGTTTTTCAAAAGGCGCTGCCCATAATGGGTTCACTTCATAGTAATAGCCGCCAGGGCAGAGGCACTAGGTGTCTGTCCCCCTTGCAACACCAGCATCCTGCACAAAGCCTGGTCCATAGGAGCACTGTGGGGGGGGGGGAGGCAGGGTGAGTGTGAGTGAGTGTGTGTGTGTTTGGGGGCATGGGCCATATAACAGGACTTCAATGACCTGCTCACAAGGGAAGCTACCCAAGACACCTGGGATGATGCTGTCACAGAACCCAGAGGGCCTAAGTTGTAACATGTGGCAGGCCTCACCGTGGACCAGGTTGCATGCTGTACTGGACGGTACTGCAGCCGGAACTTGAGCAGGAAATGGGGCTGGCGGGGCCAGGAGGCAGGGTATGTCCAGCTGGCATGCAGGCGTCTGGGGTAGCCTGGTACTGACTCCACTCGCAGCCCCTGGGGTGGGTCAGGGCGCACTGTGGGTGGCAAAGCATAGTCAGGGAAGGTGGGGTGATGGGTGCCAATCATTCCCCCACCATTTCCCAAGGTGTGTGCTTGGCCAGGTGTTTCCAAGAGATCTCAAACTTAATCATTCATTAGGCTCAGGATCTGTCACACTTTCAAAACAAGCAGAGATCTGCAGGTGGGGTTTTGTAATCTTGGAGTGAATAGTAAAGCAACTCTTCGTGTCCTCCAAGGAAGATGGATTGGCCCAGACTGGCCAGGCAGTGAGGCCCCTCTTCCCACACACAGATCAAAAGGCAGGGGGCCAACAGGGGCCCTGAGAGTTCAGGTGTGCTAGCAAGGCCCCACCCCAACTCTGAGGAGGGCACTTCCTCACCTCCAGGGGCCACCTGGGTTGAAATGGAGGCTGTGAGTAGAGGGATCTCTTTGGAAGCTAGGGGTTGGATGGTGGTGCATGTCTAAATCTGAGATGGGGCTCTAGGGAGTTCCTGAGGGGAGTGGGTACTCACAGATGGTCTGCAGGCTCACATCCAGCAGGCGTGTGCTGGCCCCCAGAGGGTTCACCTCAGTCACATTAATCCGGTACTGGCTCCAGAACTCGGCCCCGTGAACCACACAGCGGGCAGCCCCCAGGGGATCCTGTGGGCATGGCCAGGGCCCTGAGGATGAACTCATCCTAAGAGCAAGGATGGTGGTTTTAGCCTTTGAAAAAACCCATTGTGGGACTCAGCTGCAGCCCCTAGTCTCCACCATGTGTCCTACCTCTGGTCATCCACTCCTGATATGGTCTTCTTCCTGGTGGGAAGTTGGGGGAGGGCATTTAAGGACAGGAAGGACACCAGGGTCCCCTGCCCTGTCGGAGGCTCTCCCCGGACCACCCCTCCCCCACCTTTTGTACCCACATGATGCCAGCATACCCCAGCATGGGCCTGGTCCTGCACACACCTGTATGAAGTGAGGTAGCGGGTGGGCAAACCGCTGACCTGGCTGGGACTCCAAGTGCAGGAGAAGTTTTCGTAGTCAGTTGCTTGGCAGGAAACAACAGGACGGGCTGGGGGATCTAGAGGCAGAGGGTACGGCTGGAAACTAGGGTTCACTCAGGTCCTGGCTTCCCTCAGGAGCCCTATGTCCTGTCACTGCCATCCTCCCTCTCCAACTTACAGCCCAGCTGCAGGGTCACCATGCCCCCAAGTGCCCCAGCGGGGGTCCGGCAGATGTAGGTGCCCTCATCGGCGCTGTCTACCTGGGTTAGGAGCAATTCATGCCCCAAGCCAGAATCAGGTCCCTGGAGCAGCCTTGGCTCCCCGTCCCGAAACCAGGACACAGGGGTTCTAGAGGAGAGACAAGGCAAAGACAGAGGGGTTAAAGCTTAAATTAGAGGAGGTCATAGATCCACGAGCCTCTAACTACATTTGCAATAAAACCCAACAGCTGTCACAGGCTATCTCCTTTCCTCGTACCTTGCTCTATGCCTTCCTGCCTCCCCTGACCTTCACAAATCCATTTCAATATCACATCCTCAGAACCTTCCTTGGTGACCAATAAAAAGTAACCACTCGGGCCAGTGTGATAGTGTAGTGATTAAAGTTCTTGCCTTGCACACCCGGGATCCCATATGGGCGCTGGTTCTAATCCTGGCAGCCCTGCTTCCCATGCAGCTCCCTGCTTGTGGTCTGGGAAAGCAGTCAAGGATGGCTCAAAGCCTTGGGCCTCTGCACCTGTGTAGGAGACCTAGAGGAGGCTCCAGCCTCCTGTCTTCACATAGGTGCAGCTCCAGCCATTGTGGCCGCTTGGGGAGTGAGTCATCAGACAGAAGATATTTCTCTTTGTCTCTCCTCCTCTCTATATATATCTGACTTTGCAATAAAATTAAATAAATCTTAAAAAAAAAAAAGTAATCGCTCAAGGGAGGATGTCAGGCCTAACAAAGACAGATATCACATTCCGGGCAACATGACAGTGCAGCAGGTTAAGCTATTCTGCCAGCATCCCACTGGAGCTCCAGTTTGAGTCCCTGCTGCTTCTCTTGCCCAACCCAGCTCCCCGCTAGTACACCAGGGGAAACAGTAGAAGATGGTCCCTTCCATTTACAAGGTAGACCTGGAGAGAGTTCTGACATTCCTAGTTCTTCTTTAAAAAAAAAAAAAAAAGAAATTTTTATTGGAAAGGCAGATTTACAGAATGAAAGAGAGACAGAAGATCTTCCATCTGCTGATTCACTCCCCAAGTATCCGCAATGGTTAGAGCTGAGCCGAACCAAAGCCAGGAGCCAGGAGCTTCTTCTGGGTCTTTTAAGAAGACGCAGGATCCCAAAGCTTTTGGGTCATCCTTTACTGCTCTCCCAGACCAAGCTAGAAGGGAAATGGAGAGGCCAGGATACGAACTGGCACCCATATGGCATCCCATTCATGCAAGGCAAGGACTTTATCCCCTAGGCTACCACGCTGGGCTGGTTCCTGGTTCTTGGCTTCAACCTGGCCTAGTCCAAACTGTTGCAACCACTTAGGAAGTGAAACAGAGAATGAAAGATCTCTCTTTCTCTCTCTCTGCCTTGTCAGTAAATAAACATATATTTTTAAATACCATATCCCAGGGCCTGGCATGATGGCCTAGCAGCTAAAATCCTCACCTTGAACATCCCGGGATCCCATATGGGCGCCAGTTCTAATCCCAGCAGCTCCACTTCCCATCCAGCTCCCTGCTTGTGGCCTGAGAAAGCAGTTGAGGACAGCCCAAAGCTTTGGGACCCTGCACCCGTGTGGGAGACCTGGAGGAAGTTCCTGGCTCTGGATCGGCACAGCACCGGCTGTTGCAGTCACTTGGAGAGTGAATCATCGGACAGAAGATCTTCCTCTCTATCTTTCCTCCTCTCTGTATATCTGACTTTGTGATAAAAATAAAATAAACCTTTTTAAAAAAAATACCATATCCCAAATAAGAGTGACTGTGTTTGATACCTGCTTCTAGCTCCTGACTCCAGCTACCAGCTAATGGAAGGCAGTGGTGAGGTCCAAGTGGGAGATCTGGATTGATCTGCGTTGACCTCCCACCATCAGCCCAGTTGTGGGCATTTGGGGAATGAACCAACAAACAGAAGCAATCTCTTTCTCTCTACAAATTTTCTTTTTACAATTTAATTATTTATTTATTTATTGCAAAGGCAGGTATACCAAGAGGAGGAGAGACAGAGAAGAAAATTTTCTGTCCACTGATTCACTCCCCAAGTGACTGCAATGGCTGGAACTAAGCCTGGAGCCTGTTCTGGTTCTCCCACGCAGGTGCAGGGTCCAAAGGTTTTGCGCTGTCCTCCACTGCTTTCCCAGGCCACAAGCAGGGAGCTAGATAGGAAGTGGGGTGGTTGAGGTTAGAATCAGCACCTATTTGGGATCCCAGCACGTTGAAGGTGAGGACTTTAGCTGCTAGGCTACTGTGCCGGACCCTAAATATTAATTTTCAGTCAATCGTCTTGGGTTTTACTAGGCAGGATCCTGGTTTGTTTACTGCTTGCTCTCCCCCATAAAAAGTGGGCTCACTGAGGGCTAGCAACTTGCTTGGACTGTTCACTGCTATATCCCAGATCCAGGAATAGAACATGCACTTAGCATTTACTGGGTATACAATACAGATTGCTTCAATTCTCTACTGAATAGAGACAGCTCGAGGCTTAGGACAAAGCGGTGAGGCTTACAGACAGGAGACAAGGATGGAAGGGGATATGAGGACTAGGCAGGGTCAAGAAAGGTTCATGAGTGTCAGACAGGTGGGGCACTTACCCAGCAGTCACTCCAGGGCAACACAGTGTCACAGGCTTGCCGGGCTGCCCATACTGGACCCCTGTGGAGGACACTTCTGAGGTGAGGCTCTACAAGCCCAAGCCCGCCCCCCACAACCACCCTACCAACACCTTGTGCGAATCATAGAATAAAGAATAGACTGTCAAATTCTGAGCGGATCACTGGGTCCAAGCATCCTGGAATAATCTAGAGACAGAGCTCAGAGAATAGGTTATGCGGGAGACCCAGGTTCATGGTTAGAGTTGGGAGTCATGGGACTTGGGAAGTGGCCACAGCAAGGACAGTGAGTGATTCAGGAGTCAAAGCTGGTAGGAAGAGGTGTCACAGAACAGGGCTCTCCTCACCTGGGGGGCCCCAGGCCTGGGGGCAGGGTGAAGAAGCAGACAACAGGGTTGTAACCACAGCCACCAAGACCCTGCTCAGCCCTGAGCAGCTGCTGCTCATCTGGAGAGAAGAGGGAGAGGTAGAATCAGGGACCCCCAGCCCCACAAGGAGAAGCAACACCCTCGTTTTTCCTCCCCCAAAACAAAGGGAGGGTGTCAGAAATCAAGAGGGGATCTGACTTGAGGTCCCCCTTCCCACCACACACACAGAGCTGTGCATGTGCCTGCATGCGTGCTCTCTCTCTCTCTCTCTCTCTCTCTCTCTCTCTCTCTCTCTCTCTCTCACCCCCTCCATCTCAGTCCTGGGCTTAGGGCCCAGAACAAAAGCCGGAGGCGACAGACTGTGCCAGCAACCACCCCCCACACCTCCCTTGGCGCCCACTCCTGGCACCAAGCACTGGCCCAGACTCAGCCACTCCCATTAACCCCTCCAAGGCAGCTGTCAGGAACCACTACATTACCTGCCCTGGGGCTAACAAAACCTCTAACCTACTCAGGAGCAGCTTTCATCCCCGGTATAAACCCACCCTGTAGGCCACATCAAGCTTAGCCCTGCTCCAGCTGCCAAGTCTCTGGCCTGGGTCTGGCTCCTTACTCTGGCTCCTTGGGCCACTTGAACGGGCCTGGCTTGAAACCCGGGCTCAAGCCTGCGCAGCTGGATGGGGCTAGGGCGCGGGCTGGGACTGCCGAGTTAAGCGGATCCAGATGCCCTAGCTGCTGCCAGAGGCTGGGAGCAGGCACGGAGCCAGCAGATGGAGATGGAGACGGAGTGGCGGGAAGAGGAGAGAGGAAGGCGGAGAGGAAGACAGAGAGTCTGCAGGGGACAGGGGGCCTGGCGTCGGGGCCACAGCGCTCAGAGATCCTCAGCTCCAGGACAGGAGCACCACAAGTCCCTAAGGAAGTGATAAGGGAAGCGGTGCAGGGTTGGAGGGGGCCTAGAAGGCTGGGATCCTGGAGCTTGGGGAGAGGACAGGAGAAGTAACAGGGTAGGCAGGGAAGGGGCCCAGCACCAGCAAGCAGAGGAAGAGCAGGAGCCTCCCTGTGTCTGTGTGTGAGAGAGAGTGTGCCTGGGTGGCTCACCCCTTGTGTCCCAGGCACAAGGACCTGCCCCAGCCCCGCCCTACCTTGGTGACTGCAGTGGCTGAATATTCATGGCCTCCAGGACCTCCTCCCACCAGCCAGAGCTCGGGGTTTGTGCGTTATAGCATTCTGGAGACCCCAGAACCTCGCCTGCCTTCCCCTTCTGTGCCCCGCCCCCTCTGGGTCCCAGAGCTCAGCCGCCCCTAGCCAGGCCCCCGCCCCCTCCCCTTTTCCTGCTGCGCTCCTACCCCAAGCCCTGGGAAGGGAAAGGGGCCTCCCTCCTGCCCCCCAACCGAATCTAGAGAGAAAGCACAGCGGCCAAGGTCAGCAAGAGGGAGGGGAGGGCTACTCGATGACCCTGTCAAGGGAGAAACTGCCAGGGTTTTCACATAGCCAAGGTCCTGCATGGACTCACCAGGCCCACGCAGAGAAAATCAAACAAACAAAACAATCCATCACAAACCCGGGCTCCTTTCTTTGGGGCACAGCTGGCCGTGTTTTGAAGGGAAGGGAGGCCCAGGTTGGAGGGGGGAGATACAAGGAGAGGCCTAAGAATGTACTTCTCCCTCCCTCCCCTGGAAGTTCTAGCCATTTCTTCCCCACCTCCTTTCCTGCCACTCTTTGGGCCTCAGCACCAGGAAATGCCTTTGGTCCCCTGGTGCCAGATACACAAGACCCATACTTACCCTCAGACTCTCAGAAAGTCCCAGTCACAGGAACCCTGAGACAGGCTCACACACACACACACACACACACACACACACACACACACACTCATTCCATTCCCAAACAGGGGCCCACACCACCACCTAGGAGCAGCTCCTGGCAATGGCAGATGGGCATCTAAGCACTATTATGGGTGCCCCAGTGGTCAAAGAGACAAAGGTAAAAAGTGCAGGAGCAAGAGGGGCAGAATTAGAGACCAAGAGAGACATATCTGGGGAGACAAAACTGTGAAGGGACACACAGAGAAATCTCCAGGAAGACAGTCAATGGGAGAGAAAAAGAGCCAGGTGAGCCAGGCAGGGACCCTAGGACTACTAGGAGGGGAGCACGGGACAGCTTGGAGCTGGGAGTTCCTAAGGCGAACCGACACGGCAGGTCGGTCTGATAAGAGTTCCAGCAGGTTCCCCAGGTGGGAACACTGTTAGACTCACCCATTCCACCTCGGGACACAAACACACACAGTCCCAAGTCTCCTTGTTGCTCCGCTACTGCTGAAGTCACACATTAGCACACAGGGACCCCGCCACCCACTCGAGGCTGGCACACAGCCTTAAATTACCACGGAGCCCTTTCCCAAACACAAACCCCGATGTGGTCTGCCCTCTCACACACAAACACCACACCAAACACTGCGCACCCGCGCAGCCACAGCGATGCACACGCCGACACACGCAGTCACATTAGCTGACAGCTGCGTGCGCCAAGTGCCACCCGGGCCAGAGTCCCCCCACACTGACCCCGGCACACGCAGACAGTCCATCGGTCACTCGCGGCCCCTTCAGTTCCTATAGCGCCCTGCCCCGCCCCCTCCGGGCCAGACCTCCCGTCTACACTCTCCCGCCCCAGCAGGCCTCACCTTCCGCGGCCGCCGCCGCCAGCGCCCTCCGCCCCGGCCCCGACTCCCTCCCACCCAGGGCCCCCGCAGGGGGGTGCGGCTCCGCCCAGGCGCCAATGGAAGGAGAGGGGTGAAATGGGGAGGGGGGGATCCCGGCCCATTGGAGCCTCCGACTGCCAATCACCTCCACCCCCACCTCTGCCGGACACTTCCTGTCCCGTCCCAGACTGCCGAGGACCGAGTCTGGAGCTGGATTCCTGGGTTCTGGCCCAAGACTGCACCACTGAAAAAGTGTCCCCTCCCTCTCCCTGCTGAGCACAAAGCCTCAGGTTAAACAACAGTACAGGGAACTGGAGAAGCTGAAGGTGCCCCCGGGCGCCGGATAAGATAAGGAGTAGTGCAAGCTGTGGGTCTCTAACTTGCTGGATACTGTGCTTCCCAACCTGCCCTGCCACACCCTTTTCCAGTTCAATTAGAAGCTCTGGAGGTTGGACCTGGGCATCTGAAGTGTGTAAAACGCCAGGACACAGCCAAGCAGAGGTAGAAGGTTAGAATGTGTGTGTGTGTGTCTGAAACCAGCACTGTACTCAGCCACACCCCACAGCCACTGAAGCTGCAAGGCAATCCTCTCTGGTCCCAAGGTAAGAAACACTCTGGACTGAAGGGCAAGCAGCCAAGGTCCTGGGCCAGGCTCACCTCCTGGTCCAGCCTTGGTGCGATTTCCCCACTCAGCGGCCTCAAGAACAAGAATGGAGACTAGGAGCTGGTACTGTGGCATAGCTCATAAAGCCACCATCTGTGGTACTGGCATCCCATATGGGGCACAGGTTCGAGTCCTGGCTAATCCATGTCTGACCCAAATCCAGCTCCCTGCTAATGCACCTGGGAAAACAGCAGAGGATGGCCCTCGTGCTTGAGCCTCTGTACCCACATGGGAGACACTGAAGAAGCTTCTGACTGGCTCTTTGTAGTCATTTGGAGAGTGAATCTGCAGATGAAAGATTCTCTCTTGTCTCTGTAACTCTACCTTTCAAAAAACTGAAATCTTACTAAGTGGAGAGAAAAAAGCATTCTGGCCACCTCTACCTTGCCCAAAGCCCCTTATGGGTGGGACAATGTGGTAGATACCAGGTGGTACTCAGGTCCCCATTGGTGGGACAACCTGTTGTCTCCAGGCTGTTACTCAGCCTCGCAGAGGGTATCACTGAGCGCCTCCTCCCACACCCTGGTTCCCCTAACATGGGCAGCTGTTTCCCTAGCCCTAGCTGTTTTCTGTCCAGTGCAATGACAGGGCCACCAGGGAGCAGAGAGAGCATGTCCAGGCTCTGGACAGACTGTGTAGGGTGGTCTGGAGAAGCCAAGGACACAAAACCATGTGCACGCTCCCCACCCACGCCTTTAGCCCCTGTGGGCTGGAGGAGAGCCAAGCTATAGCCACTCACAAAGCCAGGGCTCTGACCACTGACACTGGCAGCAGGTTCCTGTTCAACCATTCTCCACCAAAACCCACAGGCCCTGGCTTGGTGAGCTGACCCCTTAAGGTGGTGGGGTGGTGGTGGTGATGAGGGGTGCTTAGGCCTCCCCCAAAGCTCAACCACAGCTCAGAACACAAGATTTTTAAAATGTGCTAAATTGGAATACCATTTACACCAAAGACAGAGAATCTATCTGCTAGATGTACTACTGAATAGCAATTTTGTTCAGAGCTTTGGGGTGGTGGATGTTTGCATTCAGTTTTTGTATACCAGTAGGCAGAGAGACGTGTGGCTGGAGCTGTGCCTTTAGCCTCCAACCCCCAGATCCCTAGAGGTTAGATTTCATACCCGTTTGGTGTTAACAATATGTGATTAAAGTTGGAAAGGCCCAATTTTATTGATGTTACATGCATCCAAACCCCAGGCTCCAGATTCCCCAGGCAGAAGGACTCAAGGCCCTGTGGTCAGTGTGGTCAGGCGGTCTCCCCATCCTTTTGCCTCAGGCGGTAATGAACTTCAGGAAGTGCCCTTAGTCTCTCTGCAGCCTGGGAGGAGGACAAAAAGCAATCAGGGAGGGCTAAGGGGTGCAGTGTTCCGGTGTGGTGGTAGGGAGTTCTGGAGATGGGGAGACACAGAGGGAAGGGCTACAGGATTGGGAGAGACGGGGTAAGGGCAGCTTGGAGCCATCACAGCATGGAGGGATTCAGGAGTCCTGAATCTTCAGGAATGCCTCCCTGTGTAAGTGTGAGGAAAAAGGGGGATGTGGAGAACTCAGAGTGCTCCAAGCCCTGACCTGCTCAGGGGTGAGGTCCCTCTGAGCCTGTGCAAGCATTTCGTAGCCAACCATGAATTTCCGGACAGTGGCAGAACGGAGCAGTGGAGGGTAGTAATGAGCGTGCAGCTGCCAGTGGTCCCAGCCGGCTCCAGCCTCAGATCCTGTGGGAGCCCCTGACAGGAAGAAAAAGGAAAGATGATGCAAAGGACTCCCCGGTTCCTCAGCCTAGTACTTACTCCCCACATCCTCTAGGTCAGGAACCTAAAACTTCATCTCCCAGCATTCCCTGCCAGACATTAGAAAGCACACCAGTGACATGGCTGCACCAAATTTGGTACTCCTCTGACCCTCCTAGCATCCCTGAACTGGACACCTCCCCCAGCAGGTGTCTCAAGGCCCATGAGGGATTACAGCACATGGGCTGGACCCTAGGAACCTAGCAATGGAATTCTGGGGTTAGTAATAAATACTCAAAGAGCCTCACCATGCCAGCCCATGGAGTAGGGAAAGGATGTCTCAAATAGGTTGTCATACTTGATTAAGAGTTTCTTCATGATGGAGGCCAGATCTGGAATCAGAGGCAGACCCTCAGTGTGAGGTCCAGCTGCTGGCCTGAGCAGAGCCACCTGAGCCACCACCTGGCCCCAGGGTCCTCATGAGGAGACTCACCATCACGCTCAGCAGGCGTCAGCTCAGGTAGCCGTCGCACATGGCGCCGGGGCAGCAGCAGCGTCTGGAAGGGCCACACTGCCCAGAAGGGGACCAGCACCAGCCAATGTTCACTGGTCAGGACCAGACGTTCCTGGACAGACAATATAGTCATTACAAAGTGTGTGCATGTGTTGCGTGTGTATGTGTGTTATGTGTTGGGGGTAGACAGGGACCAGCAAATAGGCAGAGAAAGCAGACAGAGAGGAGGTACCCACATGTGATGGACTCTCACCACCTCCACCATTAACCACTCTCGCTTCAGCTGTCAGCATCTCCCTGAGATGGTTGCTGCAGCCTCCTAGCAAGTCTCTCTCATGTGGGGTTAAAAGGCTAGGGGCCATTTGGGGAACAGGGCCTGGCCACCCCCTCCCATCCCACCTTCCGTAGTAATTCTTGGCGGCCGTACTCCAGCAGCAGAGGCTGTCCATGCTGACTCTGATAGGCCTTCTGAGATCGCTCCTCGCGCTGCGCCATGTCTGGTAGGAAGCTGCTGGCCCACACCTGTCAGCGGGCAAGGGCAGGGAAGAACAGATGGGTCCTTTGCCTCCAAATCTTTGTACAATGTCTTAATCCTGCTCCTCTGCCCACTATGCTGGTTTGAATCCAGCGCCCCCCCCCCCCCAAAAAAAAGCCAAGTCATGGGAGCCAGCTGAAACCACTCACCTGGCAGTGGGGATGGGGATTAGAACAGCCCATCATGGCTCCTTTGTTTTCGAAGATCTATAAGATAGGGAGAGGGAGCTTTAAGAGCAAAAAAGAGAGTAAGTGTACTTGTCCCTCCTTACAACACCTGGTGAAATAGAAAAGCTCCTCCCCAGGACCAAAGCTGCACCACCCCACAGGGGTGCCCTCACAGACCTGCACCCAAGGGTACTGAGCACCCAGCTCCTCTGTGACTGAGGCCCATGCATCGATGACAGCCCGGATCTCAGGGACCGACATGAGTGGCAGCGTCACATCCGACCAGGGGTGGAAGCACATGACCTTACTAGGTGGTGAGGGGAGGGATGACAGAGGGACAGGGCTTGGCTGTCTCAAGACCAACCCTGGTGCTCAACCCCAGGCAGAGGGTGGTGAGAAGGGAAAGTCATCATTACCAAACTCCTCGAGCAGCCTGTGCTTGGAAAAGGGGATGATCGCTGGGTCCTGAAATAAAGGGGTACCGCTCTTTGCAGCACACGTTTCCCTGGAAAGGGTTCAGCACCCACTCCCCAACAGTGGCTGGAGCCAGTTACCTGGACTAGGCGCATCAGGCTGCAGAGCTGGGAAGTCGTTGTCAAACAGGAAGGTGCTGTCATAGTCAGGATTCACCTACTGACAGGATGGGCTCCAGACATTCACGGTCCCTTACCACAAGTCATGTGGTGGGGCTGGAGGACTGGACAGGCTGGGGTGGGGTGAGGGAAAGGTCCACAGAAGGGAACAGAAAGGCTTGGTGGGATATGACCCAGGAGGCCCACTGCGCCTGTGAGTGAAGGGCAGCTCTGGGGGGATTGGGGACCAATGTCCCCAGCCCAGCCTGCGAATCCAGGCATCACAGGCTTACCTCTCCGTTGGCCCGGGTGGCCCCAGGACACAGAGGGTTGAGGGGGTCATGGCGTGGCACCGTCTGCAGAGGCTCGGGCTCCACCTGGCCCTGCCAGGGCCGCTTCATGCGGTGAGCAGACACTAGCACCCACTCATCCTGCAGCGGGTTGTAGCGGATATGCTGATGTTCTGAGGACAGGGCAGTCAGGGTCAATGAGCGAGGATGCCCTCTTGCAGTCACTCCCCAGCAAGGCCGAGCCCGGGGCGTGGGCACCCCGTTCCCCCCCGGAAGGAACTCAGGTCCGGCATCAGCCCTCCGCAGGGGGAGCTGGGCCACAGCGCCTACACCGGGCGTCTCTCTCGGCCCCGCCGGCCCAGCACAGGGTGTGCGCCCCGGTCTTGAAGTGGGGACGAGTACTTCCTAGGGAAAGGAAGGGATCGCCTCGGCGTCCCCGAGAGGCCCCGCCGCCCTGCAGTTACCGCTTGCCCGGAAGGCTGTGACCGCGGCGGCGTCTGCCTCTGCCGCCTGCTGGCGCTGATCGGGGTCGGTCTCGCGGCGCGACATAAGTCTCCCCTCAAGATCTTCTGGAATGGGAGAAGGGCTGCGTCTTGACCTTCTATCTCTTGGCCGGCCCTGCCCAGCCCCCCGGTGATTGGCCAGTCGCCAGCACGTGACTGCCAGAGGGCCACATAGGGGCGGGGTTCAGGAGCGCTGCACTGCACCAGGAGGTCTTCAGGATCCCCATTTTATTCCGGGCAGGAGCCTTTACTGTCAAAGAATCTTCTACCCCGGGACACTTACAAGACTTCCTTTCCACATCCATCATCTCGTCGATTCTTTATTCAGCAAACACTGACCGAGTACCTACCATGTGCCAAGCACAGGGACTCTAGATGGGACGTGATGATGGCCCCTTGTGCACAAACTCAGGCGTGGCTTCTGCCTTCCCTGAACTAACATTCCACGTCATCGACTAAGAGGATGACCTTGGAGCCCCGGTCACCTTGGGTCCCCGCTGTGTGGCTGCAATCTTGGGATGAACCCTGATCTGCTGTTGCTGAACTCTGACCACAGTCATCATAGTCATACCTCGGCCACCAGCAGAGATTTAGGGGGAAAGGACCAGTAACCAGCCCCTCACACACCCCAACATACACAGTGCACAGTGTGGGTAAGGGGAGGGCTGTAAGATATCTAAAAATATGGGGAAAACAAGACTATCAGTAACTTCCACCCATTATGCAGGTGTAGTTGTTATTTGAATGTTTATCTCTTTGGAAGACACAGCAATAAACAGAGAAAGGGACAAAGATCTTTCATCCACTGGCTTGCCACTCAAATTCCCAAAACAGCCAGTGCTGGGCTAGGCTGAAGCTAGGAGTCTAGCGTCTCCTGTGGGGGTCCCTCACATGGGTGCAAGGGCCCAACTGCTTGATCCATACTTGCTGTTGTTCAGGGTAGCCACAGGCAGGAAGTGTATCAAAGGTGAAGCAGAGACTCAAACCCAGACACCCAGATAAGGGAGGTGGTATCTTAAAGGTTGGAGCCAAACACTTGCCCCAGGTGTGTTATCTTTATACAACCAATCTTTCCTCCTCTCCAAACTGGCCTTGAATCAGATAAATAACAGTAGACTAGAATTCAATTAGTTTCACCACTAGCACTTTTATTTTTACTTTTTTGTTTTGTTTTTATGATTTATGTACCCAGGACAGGCACTGTGGCATAGTGGGTAAAGCTGCTAACTGCAGTACTGGCATCCATATGGATACTGGTTTAAGTCCTGGCTGCTCCACTTCTAATCCAGCTCCCTGCTTATGGGCCTAGGAAAAGTAATGGATGATGGTCCAAGTGTTTGAGCCCCTGCCACCCAACTGGGAGACCTGGATGAGGCTCCTTGATCCTGGCTTTGGTCTAGTCCAGCACTGGCCATTGCAGCTATCTGGGGAATGATCCAGCTGATGGAAGATCTCTCTCTCCCCCCTCTCTCTCCTCAGTCTCTCGCTATATATATAACTCTGCCATTCAAACATTAATAAATCTCTTTTCTTTATCATTGAAAGGTAGAATTACACAGAGAGAGAAGCAGGGATCTTCCATCCACTGCTTCACTCCCCAAATGGTTATGAAGCTGGAGCTGGGCCAGTCTAAATATAGGAGCCAAGAGCTTCATCTGGGTCTCCTACATGGGTGCAGGGGCCCAAAGACTCGAGACATTCTTTGCTGCTTTCCTGGGCCATAAGCAAAGAGCTGGATCAGAAATGGATCAGCTGAGACATGAAATGGCATACATATGGTATATCCATGTCACAGGCAGCAGCCTTATCCACTCTGCCACAATGTTGGTCTATCCCCTTACCCTCTCCCCCTTTTAAAGTTTTATTTGAAACTTAGAGCTACAGAGAGAGAAAGAGAGAGAAATACAGAAAGATCTGTTGATTCACTCCCTAGATGGCCACAATGGCCAGGGCTAAGCCAGGTCAAGGATAGGAGCCAGCAGCTACTTCTGAGTCTCCCATATGGCTGGCATGAACCCGAATACTCGGGCCATCTTCTGCTGCTTTTTTTAGGCAATCAGCAGGGAGCTGGATCACAAGCGGAGGTGTTGGGGCATGGGATGTGACAACACATATGGGATTCCAACATCATAGGCAGCAGATCTCTTGATATATTTGAAAGGCATAGTCAAAGAGAGAGAGAGAGACATACACAGAGATTTTCTATCTACTGCAACAGTCAGAGCCGAGGCCATTTAAAATCAGGAGCTAGGAGGGTTTTTTGGGGGGGATGGGGGGTTCCACATGACTGGCAAGAGCACAAACACTTGGGCCATATTCTGGTGCTTTCCCAGACCATTAGCAGGGAGCTAGATTGGAGTGGAACAGCCAGGACTTGAACTGGTACTCTTATGGGATGCAGGCAGTGGTTTTACATACTACACATAATACAGATCTCTTGGCACTTTTCAAGAGTCATCTAAGGATTGTCTAAACCTCTTCCCCATTTCATAATGGGGACAGAGGCCTCGGGGTCACCCCAGAATGGATTAGCTTAGATCTGAATGCAAGTGTCCACAGCTATCCCCAATGCTGTGAAATGTCTCTCAAACATTAGTAGGCTTCAGAATCTGGGGAGCTAAGAGCTCCCACATACCAGGCCAATACAAACCTAGTATTTTGCAAGAAAAGAACTGGGTCACTGGTCATTTACCTGATCTCTGGCCCAGGGTTGTCAGGCTGGAATCTAAAGAGGCCACCAGGTAGGGGGCAAAGATCAGGGGACTGAGAAGTGGAGACTGTCTGTCCCGCCACTACCTCTGGAACAGAAGGGAGAGAGGGCAGAGACAGCAAACATGCCTTTCTGCTGTCTCAGCTACTTTTGTTGGAGAACCTGGATTTTAGAGGCTTATGGCTTCCATGCTGCTTCTTGGATCATGCCAACTGACTCAAGAGCCCCTTCCAGAACCTCTCTTCTCTCCCCGGGGTCACTTTTTGGATGATGAGGAGAATGGCTAAGATGGGACCTACTCAATCCTGTTCCTCCCAGATTACAGAGGTGTAATCTCTGCTACGACCTCCCAAACGCTCAGTCTCCACTGAGATCACTCAAGGCCATGGACACTCCCTTGTTGTGCTTGTCAATGTGTGCTGGAGATGCTCCGGAAAGACCAGGTGGGGGCGCCATGAGACTGTGCCTGCTGCTCACACTCAGAAAATGGTCAACACTCAAAGCCTTAACCAACACTAAATAACTTATTCCCTCAATACTGCTTCCTTTTTTTAAAAAAGTTTATTTTGGGGCCCAGCGCGGTGGCGCAAGTGGTTAAAGGTCCTCGCCTTGCACGCCCGGGATCCCATATGGGCGCCGGTTCTAATCCCGGCAGCCCCGCTTCCCTTCCAGCTCCCTGCCTGTGGCCTGGGAAAGCAGTCGAGGACAGCCCAAACCTGCACCCGCGTGGGAGACCCGGAAGAGGCTCCTGGCTTTGGATCGGCATAGTATCGGCCCGTTGCGCTCACTTGGGGAGTGAATCATCGGACGGAAGATTTTCCTCTCTGTCTCTCCTCTCTGTATATCCGCCTTTCCAATGAAAAATAATAAAAATAAATCTTTAAAAAAAAAGTTTATTTATTTGAAACACAGAGAATGAGAGACAGAAAGATTATCCACTCACTGGTTTACTCCCCAAATGGGCCAGGCTGAAGGCATCTGCTGCCTCCTGGGCACTGGGACAGAAACAGAGTAGCTGGTATTCAACCAGCACTAGGATGTGGGGTGCAGGTGGTTTAACAAATGATGGTTTAGCCTGCTGGGACACAGTACCGCTCATCTTCATTGCTTTAATGAACAACCTCTCGCAGGCCAGTGGTTCCATACCAGAATCCACTTTGCAGAGAAGGGACTCTGTTCCATCTAACAAGGACCAGGCTTCATCCATCTAGTGGCTCTGTCATTCCCTAGGGCTTCAGAATGCTCCACTAGATCCTCTGGAACAATAGTAGATAACAGATGAAGGAAGAAAAAGAATGCAAAGAATTTCATAAGAGATTTTAGAAGTCAGAGACCTAGAAGTGACAGCCATTTCTGCTTACATTTCATTAGCCAGAACGCAATCACATGGCTGAATTTAAATACACGGTAGACTGTGAAACTTTTAAAAAGATTATTAATTTTTATTAGAAAGGAAATTTTACAGAAAGAGAGAGAAAAACAGAAAGAGAAGTTTTCCATGCACTGGTTCACTCCCCCAAATGGCCACAATAGCCAGAGCTAAGCTGATGTAAAGCCAGGAGCCAGGAGCTTCCTCCTGATCTTACATGCAGGGGCTCAAGGATTTGGGCCATTCTCTACTGCCTTCCCAGGCCATAAGCAGGGAGCTGGATCAGAAGTGGAGCAGCTGGCACATGAACTGGAGCCGATAAAGGACACTGGAGCCCACGGGCTAAGGATTGGCTTGCCATACCACTGCTACAGCAGAGACCCCAAGACTGTGGAATGTTAATGTGGCTGCCCAAGAGCAAAAGGAAACAGATTATGAATGGGGCATTGTCTCTGTCACATGTCCCTAAAGAGAACTCCGGCCATTTCCCATCAGCTTACTGAGTCTCTCAATTATATTCAATTGTGACCCTACAGTCCATCATCCCTATGTGTTAGGCTACTCACTTTGTTTTCATATTTTATTTATATTATAATATATATAATGGTCATCACGCACCAGGCACCAATTTCTTTATAAATAATACATAAATCTCAACTCAATGAAAGTATTTACTAGGAGGTAGTTACTTTTATTTAATCCACTGTATCATTTTACAGATAAGAAAAACTGATACAGTTTAAGTAACTTTCCCAAGATCATACAAAACAGGAACCAGGTTATGAACCAGCTTAGTTCCTTTCTTTTCAAAGATTTTTAAAATTTATTTAAAAGGCAGAGTTACAGAAGCAGAGACAACTAGAACTTCTGTCCGTGATTTATTCCTCAAATAACCATAAAAGCTAGGGCTGGGGCAGGCTGAAACCGGGTGTCAGAAGTTTCATCTGCGTCTCCCACGTGGATGCAGGAGCCCAAACTCTTGGGTTGCTGGGGCCCGTGCAGTGGGTGTGCGGGACACGAAGGCTACAAAGAATTTCCCGCAGTATGGCAGGGCCCAGCGGATCTCTACAGCCACCTGAATGCAGCTCCACCTTCCTTTGCATGGACACCGGACTGCCCTACAGAAGAATTCTAATCCATTCAGGCATTGTTTGCTACTGTGGAGTTGGCTTTTTTAAAAAATATTTATACATTTTCATCAGAAGGACAAATATACAAACAGGAGGAGAGACAGAGAGGAAGATCTTCCGTCCGATGATTCACTCCCCAAGCCAGGACTCAGGAACCTCTTTCTGGGTCTCCCATGTGGGTGTAGGATCCCAAAGCTTTGGGCTGTCCTCGACTGCTTTCCTAGGGCACAAACAGGGAGCTGAATGGGAAAAGGGCTGCCGGGATTAGAACTGGTGCCCACATAGGATCCCAGTGCATACAAGGCAACGACTTTAACCATCACGCTATCGCGCCAGGCCCAACTTGCTTTTTTTGAGACTTAACACTTAAAACTAACCAATCATGACAGTATAATTGCATGGAATTCCTGAAATGTATAAGAACCCTGTGCTGTTTAACCTCATCCCTTTTTTTGCTCTCTTTTCCACCCTGCGGTTCCTGCTGCAGCAGAGGCTGCAGCTGCCCTCCCTCCCCCCACCAACCCCCCCAGTCCTCACCTGCTCTGCCCAGCGGGGGTGGCTGGGAGACCTAAGTCAACCTGAATAAACTACTTTATGCCTTAGCACCTACTTCAGCCTTTCTGGGGATTTTCAGATTTTCTGGGGATCTCAAAAATGCAGCACAACAGCCTGCTGACTGCATCTGAGCTCAAGACCTGGACGCTCTGCTGCCACGAGCTAAGAACAGGATGTCCGCCAAAGGAGAAGGGGTGAGGGAGCAGGAGGTGGGAAGGAGCCCAGGAAGCAGCGTTCAAGCCCCACCAGCTCTCTTCCAAGTCCTCCGGTGCTCACAGCGCCTCTTACCTGGACCACAGTCCTAGTCCCCCTGGCTCTCATCTCGCTCCCGCTGGTTGCCCTGTGCCACTCTTGCCACTCTTGCCAAATCGACCTACCATAGCTTTCCAGCTGATTATCCTCCTTCCTGTGCCAATCAGATGCCCTACTCTCACTGACCTTCATGGCTTAGCAGCTGGAGCGAGTCCAGCTGAAAAGGCATGTCCTACAACTCTTTAAAAAGGGGGGGGGGGGGGAGGGGCGGTGCCATGTCCTAGCGGGTAAAGCCCTCACCTTAAACGCGCTGGGGTCCCATATGGGCGCCGGGTCTAATCCGGGCAGCCCCGCTTCCCATCCAGCTCCCTGCTTGTGGCCTGAGAAAGCAGTCCAAAGGACAGCCCAAAGCCTTGGGACCCTGCACCCACATGGGAGACCCGGCTTTGGATCGGCGCAGCACCGGCCATTGCGGTCACTTGGGAAGTAAATCATCAGACGGAAGATTTTTCTGTCTCTCCTCCTCTCTCTATATATCTGACTTTGCAATAAAAATAAATAAATCTTAAAAAAAAAAAAAAAGGCAGGGGACACAGGCCTTTGGCAAAAAGGTTACAATGCTGCTGGAAGCACCGCATCCCTTATCAGAGTTCCTTGTACCAGATTTCAACTTCCAGCTAGTGAGTACCCTGGGAGGCAGTGGATGCTGGCTTACGTCCTTGGGTCCCTGCCGTGCACGTGAGAGCCCCCCACGGAGCACCCGGGTGCTGTCTCTGACTTGGCTCCAGCCCTGGTCGTTGTGGGCATTGAGGGAGTGAATCAGTGGATGGAAGATCTCTCTCCTCTCGCCTCTTTTCCCCCGTTTCAGGCGGTAGCACCTCTCTGGCAACCCTTCTCCCACATTTCCCGACAGAACTGCCCCTTACCGACCTCAACAACCTGGGCTCTCATAATGGCCTACTTCCGGGCTCGTCCACTGCAACAGCCCGCGAGCCCAGGCCGGCCTGTCCACTGCGGGTGTCACCTGCCGGCTGAGATCAGGCCAGCGAGGACCCTGCTGCCGCTTCCGGAGTCCCCGCCCCTCCGCCCCGGCGCGCACCCCACGCGGAAATGGTTCCGCCGAAGGGGCGGAGCTGGGACGGCCCGGCCCTTGCGATTGGCCAGGGCGAGCAGGACCACTCGGTGGCGGCGGGGCGGCCGGCGGACGGCTGGAAGCGGTGTCCGGGTCTCGGGCTCCAGGCTCGGTGCTGTGCTGCCGCTGTGCCAGGCTGCCCGGCGGGATGCGGTGGGCCGCGGGCCGGCGGTGGGCGTGGGCCGCGCTGCTTCTGGGCGCCGCGGCGGTGCTGACCCAGGTGCTCTGGCTGGGGACGCAGAACTTCGTCTTCGAGCGCGAAGAGATCGCGCTGCTGGCGCGGAAGTACGCGGGTAAGAGGGCACTGGGCGGGAGACGGGGGCAGGCGGCCCAGGATCGGAGCCAGGGATTCCCAAGGACGCTGTCTCCCAAACCCGGGACCCTAACTGCCCCTGACTCGGCCGCCGCTCCTCTGCTTTCCTCCAGGGCTGGATCATGAGCTGGCCTTCTCTCGGCTGATTGTGGAGCTGCGGCGGCTGCACCCAGGCCACGTGCTGCCCGACGAGGAGCTGCAGTGGGTGTTCGTGAACGCGGGCGGCTGGATGGGTGCCATGTGCCTTCTGCACGCCTCGCTGTCCGAGTACGTGCTGCTGTTCGGCACCGCCCTGGGCTCCCGCGGCCACTCGGGTCAGTGCTGGCGGCGGGCCGGACTGGGAGGCTGGGGCAGGGTGGGGGTGTGCTGTGTTCCCCAGGCCAGTGTCCTCGTTCCTGCTGTTGTTTGGCTGAGCAACGCCTGCGTGTGATGGTGGGGAAACTCTGATCCTCCGTGTCCACTTGCTTGTCCCTCAGGGCGCTATTGGGCTGAAATTTCTGATACCATCATCTCTGGCACCTTCCACCAGTGGAGAGAGGGCACCACCAAAAGTGAGGTCTTCTACCCAGGTAAGGAGGAGAGGCAGGTCCCTTCACAAGGAGGGAGCCCTACCCAAGATCCCCTTCCTTCCAGCCCACACAACTACAGGTGGGTGATTGACCAGAGCTAAGGAGCCCTGTTGCTTTCTTGTGTTAGAGGGAAACAAGATGTAACTACTTCCTGTCTGATGTATCTGGTTCAAGTTTGTCTGCCCTGGACACTATTGGATCCAGCCAGTCTTTCAGCCAACCTTGGGGGGACAGCTGAATAATTAGAAAAGCACACATACTCCAAAATACAAAACAGACCACCATGTCCCTCTACTATTTTTTTTTAAGATTGTAACAATTGACATTAACAAAGCTTTGAATTTCCAAGCTGACTTGAAGTTGAGTGTGCGCATGGCAGGTGCTCTGACTACACAGCTCAGAAAGCCTTCCAAGTCATGCAGGAACCCTCTCCCTGTCTAACAAGTCCCACGCAGAGTTAGCTACATTTCTGCTTGAATTGAGTGTGACTTGGAATTGTAGAATTGTGTGACTGGTGCTCTGTGGCCCATGGCCAGGTGAGCTAGCAATAGGCGACTTCTCCGAGGAGAGCCCTTGGGCCAGATAATGCCACAGAACATTTAGGAATGGCCATCTGGGTCCCTTGTCCCTCTGCATGGGAGGCCAGGTCAGTGAGGTAGAGCTTTTCCTCTTTTCCTTTTCCTCCTTTTTAAAATTTTACATTTTTAAAAGACTTATCTTTATTTGAAAGGCAGGTTTACAGAGAGAAGGAGAGATAGATCTTCCATCCACTGGTTCACTCCCCAAATGGGTGCAGGGGCCAGAGCTGATCAGTAGCTGGGAGCCAGGAGCTTCTTCCTGACCTCCCATGTGGGTCGGGGGCCCAAGGACTTGGGTCATCCTCGCATTTCCCCGAGGCCATTCGCAGGGAACTGGATTGAAAGTAGAGCAGCTAGAACACAAAGAAGCACACATATGGGATCCTGGCGTTTGCAGGTAGAGGATTAGTGTGCTGTGACACTGCCAGCCCTTCTTTTTAAAGATTGATTGATGTATTTAAAATCCGAGTTACACAGCAAGAGGAAGACACATATGCACAGAAACAGAAATCTTCTACCAGCTGGTTCACTTCTCAGATGGCTGCAGTGGTCAGGGCTAGGCCAGCCTCAGAGCTTTATCCAAGTCTCCCACATGGGTACAGAGGTCCTAGGACTTAGACCATCTTCCATTGCTTTCCCAGACCATTAGCAGGGAGCTGGGTCAGAAGTGGAGCAGCTGGGACTCAAACAGGCACCCAGCTGGCATTGCACGTGGTGGCTTTTGTGCTATACTACAGCATTGGCCCCTCTTTTCCCCTTCTTGAAACAGTCTCCATTTACACCTCTAGCTGGCCTATGGGCCAGGGAAAGTACAGCCAAGGAAGGGCAGGGCAGAGCTGTGTTCCTCACGTGGGTGCTCTTTGTCTTCTAGGAGAGACGGTGGTGCATGGGCCTGGAGAAGCGACAGCTGTGGAGTGGGGACCCAACACGTGGATGGTGGAGTATGGCCGGGGTGTCATCCCGTCTACCCTGGCATTCGCACTGGCCGACACCGTTTTCAGCACCCAGGACTTCCTCACTCTCTTCTACACCCTTCGTGCATATGCCCGGGGCCTCCGACTTGAACTTACCACCTACCTCTTTGGCCAGGACCCTTGAGCAGTCGTGCCAGAAGGAAGACCTGTGGATGGACAGGAACAGGCTGGCCCTACATGCATTCACTAACTGGAGCCCACGTGCAGATAGGGACGTGTTGACACCATGCAGCACTGTGTTCCTGCTGTTCAGATAGGGCCCTCCATGCTTCTATAGCCAAATGCCCATGGGAACAAATGGAACCTCCATAGAGAGACCAAGTCCTGTGTGTGCTACAGGATCATGCACTCACCCACATTCGGAGAGGAAGCCCCACCTGTACCCCGTGGGCTGGTCATGTTCAGACACACATGTTACAAGCTTGACTCATGAACTCAGGCCTTCACCCCAGGCTCCCATCACCAGACAGGGATGTGGGGTTGAGGATGGGGTGGATATTAACACTCTGCCTCAGTCTGACTCCTCAACCCAGCAGCAGCTTGGGGAGAAGAGGAGCTGCCCTTTCGAGGCCCCCTTCACCTGCAGTGATGATGCCCTTCACTCCTCACCATATGCCTTATCCGTGTTCCACTTCCCTGCTATGCAAAAAGCCCTGAGGCTCAGCCTCTCCCCCTCAGTGAACAAGTCAGCAGATTGCTGAGGACAGGGTCCTCCATCCCAGAGAGACACTGCCCACCCTGCCTGTCCTTCCCTTGTAGGTGTAAAGGATCCTCGGTGGAGGGCCCCTTCAGCCCCAGGGAGAGGACCTGGAGGGCTGGGCCTGGTGCAAGCAGCCAGCCCGGGCCAGGAGAAGGCCTTTCCTGCACATGCATACACATACCCCCTCATGCCAGCGTGCAGACACTGTCCCTGCTGTGTCCTCTGTTCATCTGTCAATAAAGACTTGTCGGAGAGCTGCGTGTCTTTCTGTGTCTAAACAGATGGAAAAGCCACTAGCTGCTGGGATGCAGTAGGGGAGGAGTTGTGGAACTGAGTAACTTCTCACTTGCTGTGCCATGCTGTTGGTGAACTGAAGTGGGCTGTGTATGTGCTTGTGTGTGATAAGAATCACCCTTAGGTGGTTGGTCTATAAATGACTGTATTCCATTCCCAGACATCAGGGTTTTGTTTTTTTTTTTTTTTTGTGGAGTAGCGGGGATGAGACATTGAGTTCAGCATCCCTTCCAACAGAGGTGGGAATGCCATGACTTGGGAAATCCAGGACTGGATGACTGTGTGACCCATACATCTGCTTGCGGGGAAAGTGGGCACAGTCCTGAGAAGCCACCCTTCGATGGTCCCGGCTGGCCACAGGGTGGCAGTGTGTACCCACTTTGCAGCTCAAATAGGGCCTCTTCCCCCCTGCTTTTTTTTTCTGAGTTCCCCAGGGCATTGTTGCCTACCATCCATAGCACTTCCTCCACCTTATATTCTGCCTTCTCCAGGATGGACCACTTCTACTGGGGGATCCTAGGATGGGAAATAGGCTCACTAGTTGGTAGTAGGTGAGGTAAGGAGGACCAAGACTAGGGGGAGGCAGGAAGGGTCTAAGTTGTATTCACTCCCCAAAATCCTGCTCTTGCCAGCTGAATTTCTTAGTCCAACATAGCAGGTTTTCCTCATCTCATCTCCCCACCCCCACCCACATTTTTTAATGTACTTACTTTTTTTAAAAGATTTATTTTTATTGCAAAGTCAGATATACAGAGAGGAGGAGAGACAGAGAGGAAGATCTTCTGTACAATGATTCACTCCCCAAGTGAGCACAACAGCTGATGCTGTGCCAATCCGAAGCCAGGAGCCAGGAGTTTTTCCGGGACTCCCACATGGGTACAGGGTCCCACGGCTTTTGGCCGTCCTCGACTGCTTTCCCAGGCCACAAGCAGGGAGGTGGATGGGAAGCAGAGCTGCCAGGATTAGAGCCGGCACCCATATGGAATCCCAGCATGTTCAAGGCGAGGACTTTAGCCACTAGGCCACTGCACCGGGCCCAAATGTTTATTTTTTTTAAGGTTTTTTTTTTTTTTTATTGGAAAGTCAGATATACAGAGAGGAGGAGAAACAGAGAGGAAGATCTTCGGTCTGATTATTTACTCCCCAAGTGGCCACAATGGCCAGAGCTGCACTGATCTGAAGCCAGGAGCCTGGAGCCTCCTCCAGGTCTCCCACACAGGTGCAGCATCCCATGGCTTTGGGCTGTCCTTGACTGCTTTCCAAAGCCACAAGCAGGGAGCTGGATGGGAAGCAGGGCTGCTGGGATTAGAACCAGAACCCATATGGGATCCCGGCACATGCAAAGTGAGGGCTTTAGCCACTAAGCTATTGCACTGGGCCCCAGGTTTTGCTTTTAATTAATTAATTTGTATGTGTGTGTGTGTGTGAGAGAGAGAGATCTTCTATTTACTGGTCCACAACCACGTTTGAACCAGGTTGAAGCCAGGATGCAAGAACTCCCTCTGGGCTTCCCACACAAGTGACAGGGCCCCAGATAGTTGGGCCATTGTCTGCTACACACGCATATTAGCAGGAAGCTGGATCAGAAGTGAAGTAGCTGGAATCTGGGACATTAGTATGGGAAATGGCAGCTTGACTGGCTGTTCCACAATGCTATTCCTAGCCAGGTTTTGGGTTTTCTAAAAACCGTTATTTGAGAGACAGAGAGGGACGCAGAAAGAGATCCCCCCCCACCACCACTGCTTTACTCTCCAAATGTCCTCAATACTTGGGGCTGGACTAGATAGAAACTGAGAACCCAAATACTTGAGTAGTGCTTTCCAAGGGTGTCCGTGAGGAGGAAGCTGGAATTGGCAATGGGGCCAGGACTTAAAACCCAGGTCGTCCAACATAAGATGTGGGTGCCCCCAGCAGGATTTTAACCTCTGCACCAAATGTCCTCTTGGGCACGGAAAGAACTGGGGAAGTACAAGGTAAGTACTTGGTCACTAGCAGTATAAACTCTAACTCATCACTCAAGATTCCCAAATAAAGAACCGCATCTAATAGCGGGGGAGGGCAGGGCTCAGGGTAGACCCAAAGCAATTGGCTGAGGACATCTGGAAATACAGATGTGGCCATCAAGAGTGGAGAGTGTGGGGCCCGGCGCGGTGGCGCAAGTGGTTAAGTCCTCGCCTTGCACGCCCGGGATCCCATATGGGCGCCGGTTCTAATCCCGGCAGCCCCGCTTCCCTTCCAGCTCCCTGCCTGTGGCCTGGGAAAGCAGTTGAGGACGGCCCAAAGCTTTGGGACCCTGCACCCACGTGGGAGACCCAGAAGAGGCTCCTGGCTTCGGATCGGCATAGTATCGGCCCGTTGCGGCTCACTTGGGGAGTGAATCATCGGATGGAAGATCTTCCTCTCTGTCTCTCCTCTCTGTATATCCGCCTTTCCAATAAAAAATAATAAAAATAAATCTTAAAAAAAAAAAAAAGAGTGGAGAGTGTGTATGAAGAGGGACCAAAACAGATCCCTGTTGGGGGCAGTGATGATGAGTATCAGACAAGTCAAATTTCTTGAGTATATGTTTAAAAATTTCCAGAAAGGGCGTTACCCAGACGGAAAAAAAAAATTGTGTGTGGTTGTTTAGCCACACAAGGTGTCTGCGTGCCCTGTTGTGGATGTGCAGTCAACCGAGGTCTCTAACAGTGTGAAAAGGTGGATGTGAGCCCATGGCCGTGAGCATACATGTGTGTAAACAGTCGAGGACAGCACGTGGGCTGTGTGTGTGTGTGACACGCGGCAGTTGTGCACCTGCTCTCGTGCAGGTGTGCCTGTGTGTAACAGTGGCTGCTGGTGTGAGAGCGCCTGGTACTGAGTATGAGTGTAAAGGCACACGACTTGGGAGGTGGGGCGGTGTCCAGCCGCCTAGGACGCGGTTTCCCTAAGCCCTCCAGCGCCCGGCCCCCGGACCGGGCTGCAGGGGAGGTGGGAGACACCTGTTGGGGTTGCTGAGAGTGACGGAGCCTGCAGGGACCTCTCCAGGTTCCCCTCCCTACCTCCACCAGGCGCCCCGCCCGTCCTGCCGTGTCGTGGGTCCCGCCCCCGCGGCCGCAGCCAGCAGAGCGGCCAGTGAGCGCACAGCGGTCAGAGAAGCGCCAGGCGGCGGGAGCGCACGGTGGGGACCCCCCGCTCTGGGAATCGAGCCGAGGGCTGCAGCCGCCGGGGAGGCGGACGAAGAGGAGCGCCGTGGAGACGCCGGGGGCAGCGGGCCGCGCCAGGCAGGTGAGCGCTGCTTCGAATCCCGCCACTCCCTGCCCGTCCGGTGCCGTCCGTCCGTGTCCCAGGCTGTCTTCGTCGTCCTGCGTCTCTGCGTCTCCCTGGTTCTTGGCCTCTTTCTGTTCTGATCTTCTGCGTCCTTGTCTGTCTGTCCCCCAACACTGTCTCTTTCTGTCTCTGACTCCAGCTGCCTCAGTCTCTCCGTCTCTCTCGACCGGAGGCTCTTTATTTGTCTCTCAGTCCCTGTCTCCGTGACTTCTCTAGGCGGCCTGTCACTTAGGTTTTGATCCTTTGCTCCCCTCTCCTCCCCTTCTTGTCTGTCAACCTCATCTGCCCCATCGCTGTCCCTCCATCCTTGCCTCTTGCTGGTGCTGCTCACTCTCTCCATCTTGGTTCTTGGTCTCTGTCTGTCTCTCCATGTCACTCTGCCTCTGATCTATCATTGTCTATCATGTACCTTGTCTCTCACTGTTTCTCTCCCTGCCCTTCCCTCCCCTACCCCATCTCCCTCTGTCTCTTGGTCCCTGTCACCCTCTCTGATCTGCTCAGTCTCTTCCTGTCTTTCAGCAGTAGCCTTCCCTTCTCTCGTACTCTTACCTCTGTGTGTGTGTGTCTCTCTGCCCAGCTCTGGAAAAAGCTATCTTTCTGTCTGTTTTCCTCCTTGGGTTGGGGATTGTGGAGGCAGCCATGGGACCATGGCACCCATGGTTCCCTCCCCGACAGGTGGCCCTCTCCTTGGGGCCCCGTCTGGTACCAGGACCTCCCCAGGCAGGGGGACTGCGCCTGGAAGCTGTCATGGAGACCCTGCAGAGACAGCAGGCAGCTCGTCTAGCCCAGGGGGTGGGGCTGCCGACCCCTCCACGCCTGCCCCTGCTACCACAGCCTCCCCTGCCTGGCCCCCGCACCCTGCAGGCTCCTGAGGGGGCCTTAGGGGAGGTTGGGGCTGAGGAAGAGGATGACGAAGAGGGAGAGGAAGCTGGGGCAGAAGAGGAGGCAGCTGAGGAGAACCGTCCAGGAAGCCGGGGTCCTGGTTCACCTTGCAGCCAACCACCTGCACCCCATGCCCATGAATGGACCTATGAGGAACAGTTCAAGCAGGTAGGACCCCCTTGACATTAGAGTCTCCTCCCTCCATCCTCAGGAAACAGGCAGAGCTGGGTGATGGGCAGGCCACCCACCCAGACCACCTGCTACAGGCTGGCATGACAGGGCAGCACCGAGACCTGCAGAAGATAGTGGGAAGATTGGAGGCTACGTAGTGACAGGAAGAGAGATAGGGAGGTAGCACACGCCCAGAAATATGGAGACAGACAGACGAGAGGCCATTTGTGAGAGGGGCACCAGGACCTTGAGGGAAGAGAGACCTGGTGGGATTCCAGAATGATCCCCTACAGAGGCTGCCACTCCCTGGGTAGGCTGGTATCCTCCTCTTCCCAGCTGCATGGCTCCTCCCTGGCCCAGTGGGTTGAGCCTGGCCTGGGATGGGCACTGCGGCCCCATTGTGACTATAGGATCCATGTGTAACTGGGTGCGATGGTCCCTCATTTGCAGGGCCTTTGTTGGAAGCCCTCGCTGGGGAGCCCTTTGCAGTGTTACACTGAGGACCTAAGTCGAGGCTGTCACTATGAAGGTGTCACTTTGGGCTGTGGCTCTGCCATCTGCAATTCTGGGGATTGCTGCCTAGTGAATGGGTGTGGCTCTCGCAGGTCTAGGGTGCAGCTCATAGTGTTTTATACTCTGACACTGAAGGATGGAGTGTTACCTGTGGGCATTTTCCTGGACCAATAGCTCCATTCCTCCAGGATTGCTCCTCTTGGGTTAGCTGTTTGGGAGGGGGCATTGGAGATGAAATTGCAGGTGATTAGAAAGGCTTAGATGGGTGACCTGCAGGTCCTTCAAGCCCCAACCCTACATTCAAATCCTGCATGACAGGGCCAGTGCCTTTGCGGCAGTTTCTACCTCTGGGAGGGGATTAGACTAGAAGGTTGGGCTCAGTCCAGGAGCCTCTGCACATCTTCCCCTGCCCAAGGGATGGGCTCAAGGCACCTTTGCCCCTCACCCGCCAGGCCTGGAACACAGCAAGAAGCTTTTATGTGAATCAGTGAGAGTGAGTGAAACAAGTGCTTAGGGAATCCACCAGTCTCCTCCTCATGGCTTCCTTCCTGGGGTTCTGAATATTCCCCTCCCCCCAATATCATGGAGCGAGGAAAAACTGGCTGAGCCTCCCCAGCTTCTTCCCACCTCTTCTTCCCCTGCTCCCCAGATGGGTGGCTTGAGCTGCCCAGTGCCTAGCCAGAACAGGTCTCTGTGTCTATCAGAAAAAGGCACTCGTGCCTGCCTCCAGAGGGAGCGAGCCTGATGTCAGGAGTCCAGGTGCAGAGCCTACTGACCCCTTCAGCCAGGCACGCTTGTTCAGGCTGCAGCCTCAACGGGGGTCCCAGGGTGAGGGAATGCAGACTGACCCCCAGGCCTTCCACAGCTGTATGAGCTCGATGCAGACCCCAAAAGAAAAGAGTTTCTGGATGACCTGTTCACCTTCATGCAGAAGAGAGGTGAGTTGATGTCGGGAAAGGTCCCTGGCATCACCCCTGATGGGCCAGATCTAAGGAGGGGGATACCCCAAGTTTAATTCCCAGGGCAGATCCTTCTTGTGCAGGCCTGCGCTTGGTGGCACCTGTCCTTTGGACCTTCAATAGCATCTTTAACCTCTAACCTTGCCCCCCCCCCTTCTGCCCGGGGATTAATTAGTGGCCAGCCCATTTGGTAAGTTAATGTGTGTGGGATCAATTGGGAGGAAGGGAGGGAGAACTGGGTGGGGAGCTGGCCTGGGGTGGGCGGGTCTCAGGGCAAGCGGGCTGGGTATTCCTTGGTTCCCTTATTGTAAGGCCGTTTCTCCAACCTTGTCTCTCCCTATTTCCTTTTGATTCAAGGAGGGAGGGGCCTTCCCTGGTACTCAGCAGCTGGAAGGATGGGGATTAGGCTGAAGGGAGGACTTCCCAAGGAGTAGGCCGGGGCAATGTCTGACTGGGAGAAAGCGAGAAGGACTTCCTCTCCAGCAGTTTCAGAGATTGCAAGGGTCCAGGAGGGGGTTGGAGTGGGCGGCATTCCATCACTTCAGCTCCTCCCCAGATTCATGGGACTGAACACTGACTCATTATCTCTCTCTACAAAGCTAATTAACTCACTCAGAGTGCAGCCTGATAAGCTGCTAATTAACTAGCTGCACTGCTGTGCCCACCCCCACCCCCACTTTAGTGCAGTCACTGGCCCAAGTATCCTGGTCCCCACACCAGACCTGACGTTTCTTCTTGGTCTCCTCCCCAAGGACCCTTAGTGGGATCCTGGATCCTCTTGCTCCCCAGGGAGGGTCCAGTCATTTGAGTCCCAGTATCCCCTCTTTGCCTCATCTTCCAGGCATCCCTTCTACTGGGAGAGGTGTGGGGTGGCATGAACACATCCAGGCACTGCCCACACCCCCAGCTCAGCCTCTCTCCACTCCTGCTGCAGGGGGAGGGGGTCCCGCGAGGCCGATAATTTCCCCCCATTAATCAGGCCACAGCTAATTGTTCGGGTCCAAAGGCGGTGGCGGAAGGGGACAGGATCGGTAAGGAATTAACTGGGTCCCATCGCTCAGCGCAGACAGGCCCCTTTGTCAGGACTGGTCGGCGGGGGTGGTGCGGGTTAGCGAGCTGCAGACCTTGGGCTGATTCTTCCTGCCCGCGATCCCCAGGATCTGGGCGGCCATCCAGGGTTTGCTGCTAGGAGAGTTCTGGCTCACCAGCACCCTCTGACAGTCTTTCCTGCAGTCTAACCCCAGCAAACTAAAGTGGGCTGAATCCAGATACTCGAGGCAGGAAAAATGACCTCCATATTTTTAAATAGTAGTGTGAGACAGATTTCAGACCTGTGACGTTAGCATGTCAGAAAGTGTGGATAAAGTTTGATTGAAATACAGTCATGCTGTTCCTTTATGCTCTAGCTGATTTGAGGCTACAGTGGCAGGAATGAAGAGTTTTGACAGAGGTCCTTTGGCCCTGTAAACCCTAAAATATTTACCCTCAGGCTCTTCAGGATAATTTGCTGATCCTGGGTCTAGTTCCCTGGCTTTTCCGGAAACCAGGAATGCCTGGACCCAGGTCCAGGGGCAAGTGTCCAGCTCCTTCAGTTGGTTGCTAGAGATGTCTGCAGACAGAATTTCTCTCATCTTAGTGTTCTGACCCTACCCACTTCCCACCAGGGACACCGGTGAACCGAGTGCCCATCATGGCCAAGCAGGTGCTGGATCTGTATGCGCTGTTTCGTCTGGTGACAGCCAAGGGTGGACTGGTGGAGGTCATCAACCGAAAGGTGTGGCGTGAGGTCACGCGTGGCCTCAGTCTACCCACTACCATCACCTCGGCCGCCTTCACTCTGCGCACTCAGTGAGGCCAGGGGCGTGAGAGGAAGGGAAGGGGCATGTGGGGAGAGGAGGGTGGGTGGGACTGCGTGGGGGAGCCAACAGCCCAGTTGGTGTCTTGGTGTGGGACTGGATCAGCTGGGCCCAACCTCCCACTCAATCCCACATCAACTTCCACCCCTTAGATACATGAAGTACCTGTACCCGTATGAATGTGAGACGCGGGCACTCAGTTCTCCCGGTGAGCTCCAGGCTGCCATAGACAGCAACCGGCGCGAGGGCCGTCGTCAGGCATACCCCACTACCCAACTCTTCAGCCTGGCAGGTCCACCTGCCCGCGGTGTTCCGGGTTCAGTACCAGGTCCTGGCCCTGCTGCTCCAGTGCCCCCACCAGGCTCAGCCCCCATCCAGGGCTCCGCCTCCGGTCTGCCTGCGCACGCATGTGCTCACCTGAGCCCCAGCCCTATTAAAAAAGGTGTGAGGGGAGAGGGGGCAAAGGTTTTGGGTTTCTGACACCTATTGAAGCAATGAGATATAGGAAACGTTAATCTCAGAGGGACTCTGAGATTGGAGAGGCATTGAGATATGGGAGCGGTAGGGCCTGGGGCTGCTGTAAGGCTTGGGGGTCACTAAGACCTGGGAACCCTGGGGTTTGAGATTAAGACATCCTTAAGAACTTGGGAGAAGGGTTACTTGTGATGCAAGCTGAAGCTCTGGAAAAGGACTTTTATCAATGGCTGCTCCACTCAATACCTTTCTGCCCAGGGTATCTGTACTTCCCACCACCTGTACTGTGCAGCAACCAAGAACTTACAAATTCTCTAAGACCAACCTTGGCACAGGTTTCTGCAGCTTCAGAGCTTGCGGACTGAGGCTCTGCAAGGGGAGAGAGACAGAACTTGTGTGAGCTTGGGTGGCAGCTCTTGAACCCTGAGCCTGAGGGAGAACCCAGGCTGATCGGGTCAGGGCAGTTAAATCACCTATGCTTCCAGAGGAGAGCGGAATTCCCACCCCTCAACTGGCACTTCCTGGGGGCCTGGCGTTGGGACCTATACGGGAGAAGTTGGCACCAGAGGAGCCTCCAGAGAAGAGGGCTGTGCTGATGGGACCTGCAGACCCACCTCTGCCTGGAGCAACCCCCAATTTTCTGCCCCGGGGCAAGGTTCCACTGAGGGGTGAGGAGAGGCTTGTTGGTGAAGGGGCTTGGGACCTGTGCAGTAGGAAGCATCACCCGATCATTGCTGGAGATGAGGCAGACATCTGTGGACAGCTGTAATTAGGGGTGGGGCTGAAATGGAATGGGGGTTCTCTACAGGGAGGGAGGGGGTTTTCTAAGTCTGATTTCCTCCCCACAAATGACACCCCTACCCCTTCCTGGACAGAAGAGCGGCTGGATGGGCCTCTCAACCTGGCAGGCAGTGGCATCAGCAGTATCAACATGGCCCTAGAGATCAACGGGGTGGTCTACACTGGTATGGGTACTACATGCTATCTACACTAGCATGGAGTCAGTGGTACTTAGACTGGCATGGGGACTTTAGACTTTCCCAGTTAGCATGAGGGTCAGGGAACTTGCATGGATGATTGCATGGATGATTTGGGACTCATCTACGTGGCATGGGTCCCAGGCATGCCCTCTCTGGCATGGGGACCATGGGATGTGTGCCTTGTCAGGGGCCTGTGAGCCTTGTCAGGGGCCTGTGAAATGGTATAAAAATTTCTTGGTCACCTGTTTGAAGGTGGCTACTTTGGCATGGAGTCTTGTGCAAAGGGGCTTGTCCTCACTGGTGTGTAGAAGGGGCACATGTGTGGGGTTCTAACCATCAGGCACTTACTTCTGTTCCTCTCTTCTGTTTCTGTGCTCCATCCCCTCCTGCTTGCCTTTCCCTGGTAACATTGTCTTACTCCTTTGCCAGGGGTCCTCTTTGCCCGGCGCCAGTCTGTGCCAGCTCCCCAAGGCCCAGCCAACTCTGCATCCCCATCCTCTGCAGGGCCTCCTTCAGGATCCTTGCCCTGAACACTTCTCACACCTAACAGTCCTAGCCCTAGGGCTGAAAGGGGATGACGCCCCCCTCTCCTTTTTGGATTCCTCCATTTGGATGCCTGCTCTGGAACCCAGCTCTGGGAGGTGATCATACCCGCCTCCATGCCAAAAAGGGTTTTCTTTTGATGTTGTATCTACCTCATTGTAAAAGGAAGGTGCCTCCTCCTTGACCACTTCCGGCAGCACGTACCAAAGAAGTTTTCCCCCAGTGTACCCTCTATCATCTCCTCGTGTGCCCCCTGTACCTGTGTCATCTCTAGCACATCACTCCCCTGTGACTCAGTCCTGCTTCTGTTCAGGAAGCAGATGAAAGACTGCATTAGGATGTTATGAAGAAGACATCCCTTCGGAAAATAAAGCCGTGGTCCATCCCTCTGTGGTGCCTGGTCTTGTTTACGTCTGGGAGGTGGAGAGGAATGATGTATGTGGACAGCATTAAGTGGAGGGATGCTCCAAGGAAAGGCAGAAGATAGAGGAGCTTGGTTTCTTGAATCAATTATTTATTTTTTGAATTGGAAAGTCAGATATACAAAGAGGAGGAGAGATAGAGAGGAAGATCTTCCATCTATTGATTCATTCTCCAAGTGGCCCCAAAGGCCGGAGCTGAGCTGATCTGAAGCCAGGAGCCTGGAGCTTCTTCTGGGTTTCCCATGGTGGAGCAGGAACCCAAGGCGTTGGCTCATCCTCGACTGCTTTCTCAGGCCACAAGCAGGGAGCTGGATGGGAAGTGAGGCTGCCAGGATTTGAACTAGTGCCCAGAGGAGATCTCAATGCTTACAAGGAGAACACTTTAGCCACTAGGCTATCACACCAGACCCTACTTTTTTTTAAAGATTTATTTATTTTGGGCATGGCGGTATGGCCTAGCGGCTAAAGTCCTCTCCTTTAACGTGCCTAGGATCCCATATGGGTGCCGGTTCTAATCCTGGCAGCTCTGCTTCCCATCCAGCTCCTTGCTTGTGGCCTGGGAAAGCAGTCGATGACGGCCCAAAGCTTTGGGACCCTGTATCTGTGTGGGAGACTCGGAGGAGGTTCCTCGTTCCCGGCTTCGGATCAGTGCAGTACCAGCCATTGTGCTCACTTGGGGAGTGAGTCATCGGATGGAAGATCCTCCTCTCTATCTCTCCTCCTCTCTATATATCTGACTTTGTAATAAAAATAAATAAATCTTTAAAAAAATGTATTTATTTTGGGACCTGGCATGATAGCTCAATGGCTAAATCCTCACCTTGCAAGCACTGAGATCCCTTATGGGCATCAATTTGTATCTTGGTTTCTCCACTTCGCATCCAACTCCCTTCTTGTGGCCTGGGAAAGCAGTGGAAGATGGTCCAATGCCTTGGGACCCTTCGCCCACATGGGAGACCAGGAAGAAGCCCCTGGTTCCTGACTTTGGATCAGCTCAGCTCCCGCCATGTGGCCACTTAGGGATTGAACCAGTGGATGGGAGATCTTTCTGTCTCTCTCTGTAAATCTGTTTGAGAGGGAGAGACACAGAGAGAAAAATCTCTTTTTGAAAGTGGAGGATTAGTTGTTGAGCCACAGTACCAGCCCCTCAAATTCCAAATCTTTCACTATAGTGCTGGGTGGCCTCAGGCCCATTACTTAGTCTCAACTTTAGTGGGCTTCAGAAGTTCATAGTGAGATGAATGTTGCAGTACAGAATAGGGGGGGACCTATGCCTCCCATTTGGGAGGCCTGTGTCCCATATCAGGGTGCCTGAGATGGAGACCTACCTCTACTTCTGGTCCAGGTTTTTGCTAATGCATCTAGGAGCGGTGTGTGTGTGTGTGTGTGTGTGTGTATGTGTGTGTGTGTGTGTGTGTGTGTGTGTGTGTAGAGGACTGCTCAAGTATTTGGGTCCCTGCCATTCACATGGAAGACCCTGATGAAGTTCCTGGCTCCTGGTTTTGACCTGGCCTCATCCCTGCTGTTGTGGACAATTAGGGGAGTGAACCAGGGGATGAAAAATCTCTCACTCTGAGTTTTTTAAAAAGTTTATAGTCTCGTGGAGAGCTTCCTTCAGATCTATCAGAATGGACCTATGCTGGCACATCGGGGGCATTTACACGTGTAACCTCCGGGTAATGGGCTGGGGAAACCTTTTTAGTATCTTGGAACTAGAAGAATGGCAAGTCGTCTTGACAACAGGACGCCAGAAGCCGGGGGGGGGGGGGGGGGGGGGACAGGTTGCCGTTGCCTAGGTAACCCCGCAGCGTTTGACAACTCTTACCCGGTCTAGTCATTTCCTCGTCGTAGAGCTCGAATCGTGATGTCATTTCCGATCTCGGAGCGACGCCCGTGCACTCGGATTGGCCGAACTCCCTGTTAGGACGGACGTCCCACCCTCTGGCTGTGGCTCAGGTGAGGCGCGGCCCCGGCGGAGATGGCGGCTCTGACGGATGTTCAGCGGCTGCAGGCCCGAGTGGAGGAGCTGGAGCGCTGGGTGTACGGGCCAGGCGGGGCGCGCGGCTCGCGGAAGGTGAGGGATGCGGTCCGTTTCTGGGAAGGAGCAAGGCAGTCGGTCCATCGCTGCCCCCGTTGCAACCCCGTGGTCCACAGCCCAGCTTTGAAGTAACACCGGAGCCCGAGGGACCCTCAGAGGCCTTCTTTTACGGTGGTCTTTGCGGATGCTGAGCGCTGAGACCAAGCTCCTCTCCTGCCCGCACGGGCTCGTTGGGGAGAATCCACCTCCTTGGAGAAGCCGACTAATGGGTGCTTTAGAAAGAGCTGAAGCCCAGCAAGTGGCGGTGTGGAGCCTCGAGTAATTCGTTGTCCAGGGAGAGGGCCACGAGGCCCTAGAGAGGGCAGAGCAGGGTGGACAAGAAGACTGCAAGGCAGGGGAGAGGAGGTCAGCGCGAGCGGCAGAAACAGGAGAGAGTGTTGAGGTGTGGGATTTTTGCCCCTGTGAGGCTCTGTGCCCCTTGGTCCCTTCCCTGCCACCAGCTGAGCTCTGACAGAAGAGCTTCTGGTGGAGCTAAGTTCACCAGAGGTAATGGTGGCTGTTGTTATGCTTCCATAGGATGAGTTGTCCCCTAGCAGGTTGCTTCCCCATTTGAAAATCAATCTGTCAGAATACTCTTTCCCCTTCGATATCCATGACACTAACTCCCAGCCATCTCTCTGCCCCTCTGGCTGCCTGCTTCGCTGTCTTATCTGCCTCCAGAGTATTCGATCCTGGAACATTGGCATTCCTCATCCTTAGCCTGAAACTTGGGTGAGCTCATTCACTTCCATATTTGACCTGTATTTGGCCCTTTAATATTGAAATTACTCATCATCTACACCTCAATCTTATATAGGCTTACTGCTTATTTAAATTTCATTCATTCATTCATTCATTTTAAAAGCAGAGAGAGAGATCTCCCATCTAATGGGAAACTCCCTAGATACCGGCAGGAGTTGGTACTGAGCCAGGCTGAAATAGGATCTAGAGATTCCAGCCCAGGCAGCAGGGATACACATGTGGGGAGCCATCACTGTTGCCTCCTGGGTCCACGTTGGCAGGAAGCTGGGATAAGGACCAGAACCTGGACATACAGCCTAGTGTTCCAGTGACCACCAAAGCACCAAGCTGAAGGCCACCCTCAGCCTCATCCATTTCTTAGTGTCAGTTGCAGTTCTTTGCATCTTGAATGTGTGTCTCTGATCCAGATTTCTATTCTGAGGCAGATTTGTACATCCGGTTGTATTCTGGACTTTTCTGCTTGGATATTCAGCAGGCATTTCAAGCTCAATCTATATACTCTTTACTTTTTTTTCTCCCCCAACCTGATTCTTATTGTGTAATACAGGGATTGCACTGTCATTAGGAGCCTAGAGGTCGGCTTGTTCTCTTCACCTCCCACACTGGAGTTGATGTGGATGGGTTGGGGCTTTAGGCAGGCCAGCCAACCTGGCAGCTGGAACAGTCATTAGGTCATGAGGGCCTGGATAAATGTGCCTGCATTTCTCATGCTCAAACCAAGAAGCATGTTATATATGCTAGTGTTCCATACACTGCAAAAATAGTTTATTATCTCCTTAATCAGACTTGAAATTCCAAGGAGGACATGATTTTCTCTTCACATTAATGATCCCCTGAAGGTGGACTGCATCTTTCTCATGACAAGAGAATAGGACCAACCTAGATGACAGGAACTCAGGGCTTGGAGGGTCTGGGGGAATGAGGGTTCTTCACTTCTCCCAAGCCTTGAGCCAGGTGGTTTATCTCAGAGTTAAACTGTACTCCTCTTACAGGTGGCTGATGGCCTTGTCAAGGTGCAAGTGGCCTTAGGGAACATCGCCAGTAAACGGGAGAGGGTGAAGATCCTGTACAAAAAGAGTAAGTGCTTCAAGGGATCTGACCCTGGACTGTCAGTCCAGGAGGTCAGTGGAGTAAGCCCTCTGACAATACAAGATATTTCCCTTTTCAAAGTGGTGAATTGGGATGTGCTTTTCAGCCTTGTAGCTAAGCCCCAAGCCAAAGTTACAGGATAAGAGCTTGGTCTGGAGGCTGCCCTTGGGAAAGGATATGGGATTTCTGGAGGCAAGATTAGAGGAGGGAAAGAAGTTAGACACTGAGAATGTCTACCTTGGCTCAGCCAAACCTCCTTGCTTATTTGAGAGCCAGTAACACGTACCATAACTAGAAGCTAGATAAAGCTCTGCCTTTTCTGGGTAGCATTGAAGAGGGAATGAGGCCTTCTGTGGGGGAGCTTCTGTCACCTTCCGCAGTGAGGATGGATCATTGGGAATGCTGAGGATTCCAGAGGGGTGGTGGCGATGATATGCTTACCACCAACGTTGGAGACTTGCTAGCAAGTTGTGAGATTAGAGAGAAAGGGAAGAATGGGTAGCGAGGGAGGGCTGAGGTGCAGCTGATAATGTCAGCTCCTCATTCAAACCTCTCTCTAAGATGGACTGCTTCCCAAACAGCCTTCATGAAACAGAGCTGCACTCTTCAATCCTAGCAGTTCCATTTTCCCTCTTGCTACTTTTCTAGTTGAAGACCTGATCAAATACCTGGACCCTGAGTACATTGACCGCATTGCCGTACCCGATGCCTCCAAGCTGCAGTTCATCTTAGCAGGTAATGTGGGACTGCGTGCACACCTACAGATGAGGATCTGGGCTGTGGAAGACGAGGAGCACAGAGCTGGCCTCCACAGGTGGTTTGTTCATCATGGACAAGCCAATGCCTAGTTCGGGCCTGATTCTAGGCTGAGGGCTGAGTTGATCCTCTAGGTCCTCCAGTAGGCTTTGAGTGCAGGATGCCTTTCAGTGAGCTGCAGTTCCAGCTGCCAGCCACAAGGGGAACGACTGTAATGTTCTTATCTATGGCCTGTCCTAGGATTGTCCTTTAGAGCCTTGTTTATGTTGCTCACTGGACAGAGGGGCTTCCAGCAAAGAGGAGGCAGAGAGCGTTATCATTTGGGAGGATGGAGAGTATTGGCATGAGTTTCTAGATCTTTCATGTGAGAAATCTCTGGGCTTTCAGAGTTCTCAGTAGGAAATGTTACTGCCTTGGAATGCAGGAATGTTACTGCCAGTGCTAAACCACTGGTCAGCCACACCACAGGCTAGGATTTTCTCAGCACTTTGTAATTTGTTCATCTATCCAAAAGATACTCAGAGATTAGCTACCAGGTTGTAGACTCTGTCCTAGGTGTGAACCAGAAAGCCCTTGCCCCACTGGGCACAACAGGAACTGGAGGAATCAGAATCCCTGCCTCCAGGCCGGGATTCTAACCTGGCTGAAAGGTCAGTCCCCTGGGAGACTGGTCAATACAGTGTGACACTGAGGTACGGGTTAGGATGAACAGTGCCTGCTGAAAGGGGCTGTCAGCTCCCAAAGGGGTCCTAACTAAGTGATGTGGTTTCCAGGCCAGCATGACAGTATAGTGGACTGCGGCACCGCTTGTGACATGGCATCCCATATCGGAGTGCAAGTTTAAGTCAATGTACCTTAGAAGGTAGTTCATGATGGCCCAGCTGGTTAGGGCCCTGCCACCCGGATGGAGTTCTCAGCTCCTGATTTTGCTTTGGGCCAGCCCTGGCTTTTAAGTGCATTTGGGAAGTGAACTAACAGATGAAATCTCTCTCTTTCTCTCTGTCTCTCCCTCTATTATTCTGCCTTTCAAATAAATAAATACATCTTAAAAGAAAAAAAGGCAGAGTAACAAGGAAATAGAGTAACGTCTTCCACCTGCTGGTTCACTCCCCAAATAAATAACTGCAACAGCCAGGACTGGACCAGGCTAAATCCAGGAGCTTCATCCAGGTCTCACAGGAGTGTAGGGGTCCAAGGATTTGGGTCATCTGCTGCTGCTTTCTCAGGCACATTAATAGGGAGCTGGATGGGAAGTGGAAAGACTCAAATAGGTGTCTATAAAGGATGCTTACATTACAACACCAGTCCCAAATAATTAAATCCTTAAAACAAAATTGACAGGCCCAGCGCGGTGGCCTAGTAGCTAAAGTCCTCGCCTTGAACTCGCTGGGATCCCATATGGGCGTTGGTTCTAATTGTAGCAGCTCCACTTCCCATCCAGCTCCTTGCTTAAGGCCTGGGAAAGCAGTTGAGGACGGCCCAAAGCCTTGGGACCCTGCACCCATGTGGGAGTCCCGGAAAAAGCTCCTGGCTCCTGGCTTCGGATTGGCACAGCATCAGCTGTTGTGCTCACTTGGGGAGTGAATCATCGGACAGAAGATCTTCCTCTCTGTCTCTCCTCCTCTCTGTATATATCTGACTTTGCAATAAAAATAAATAAATCTTAAAAAAAAAAAGGAAAGAAATTGTCACAGCTTCCCCAGCAGGTACGGGAAACCTTGCCCTGTCCTGACGCTGCAGTCTTGCCATGTCTCCCAGTGCACAGCCTTATTGCCTGTACTCCCAAATGACCAGTTTCATCACTGCTTAAGTCGTCTTCTTAACCTTAGCCTTTTCCTTTCTGCTTGTGGTCCAGTCTCATCTTCACAAAACATTTCTAACTTACCATTTTGCCTACATTGGAATCCCAGTGTCTCCTTTCCTTGCTAGAAGAAAATCCTAATTATTTAAAAATATATATTTATATTTGTATTATATATATATAATATGTGTATATGTATAAATTTGAAAGGCAAATTTTACAGAGAGGAGAGACAGAGAAAGATCTTCTATCTGCTTGTTCACTCCCCAAATGGCTGCAGTGACTGTAGCTGGGCCAGTCTGAAGTCAGGAGCCTGGAGCTTTTAGATCTCCCACTTGGGTACAAGGACTCAAAAGGACTTTGGCTATTCTCTGCTGTTTTCCCAGGTGCCTTAGCATGGAGCTGGATGGGAAGTGGAGCAGTTGAGGCTTAAACTGGTGCCCACATGGGATGCTGGTACTGCAGGTAGAGGCTTAACCTACTAAGCCATGGTACCAGACCCATGATGGTGATGATTATTATTTCCATTATTATTATTTAAGACTTATTTATTTTTATTTGAAAGGCAGATTCACAGAGAGAGAAGGGGAGACAGAGCTGTTCCATCTGGTGGTTCACTCCCCAAATGGCTACAACAGTTGAAACTAGGCAAGTCTGAAACCAAGAGCCTAGAGCTGCTTCCAGGTCTCCCACATGGGTGTAAAGGCCCAAGGACTTGGGCCATCTTTTGCTGCTTTATCAGGCACATTAACAGGGAAACTAAGATTTGGGGTGTGCTTAGTCTCCTGGTTCACAAATGCAGCATCCAGGTCTCAAACTGGTATCCATAAGTGGATACCACAGGTAGAGGCTTCAGGTACTATGCCATGGCACCAGCTCCCTAATTCTTTAACCAGCCATTCAGAGCTTTCCAGTCTGCTGGGCCTACCCTATCCTGTACTCTCCTGCTAAAATTCAGCCAGTTGATTTTTTTCTCTGTTGACAGACATTCCTGCCTTCAAACATTTGCACACAACAGTCCTCACTTGAAATGCATTTCTCTTTATGGATTCCCGTGCATTAAAGCACACCCCAAATCTTAGTCTCCTCTTGGGAGTCTCGCATCACTGTCCCAACTCTCCTCCAGCTGGCAGGTGTCTACGCCTCAGAGAGCCACTGAACAGAACCTGCCTGGGACAGTCTGCAGCATCTCCCCTCTCAGACCTTCCTGGTGACCCATGGTTAGGGGAACCCAAGTCTGAAGAACAGTGTACCTTGTCACCTCAGAGGCACTCATTGTGTTTGTTGATAAGAAGTTAGAAGAGACCTTGTTGTTCAAACTTAGGGAAAAGGTAGTACTTGAAGAAGTGAAGAGGCTCTTTGGACTCAGGATGGTTCAGACTAGAGATAGCCAGAAGTTGGGGCAGGATGGGGATTGTGCACTTAGGGAAGGGGGCATGGCCACTGGCCATGCTGGGTCCTCAGCCCCTCGCGTGGGAGGCAGAATGTCCACACAGGCTCACTTCACCATCACTGTCTTGTCTCTTCATGCCGCAGAGGAGCAGTTTATTCTCTCCCAGGTGGCGCTCCTGGAGCAGGTGGACGCCTTGGTTCCCATGCTGGACAGTGCGCACATCAAAGGTACCGTATGCCACTGCAGCCCTACCACACCACTGGGGACACGCGCACACAGGCAGGATGCCCCCAGGCCTCTGGTTCCCAGAGTTGCTTCTTGTCTTTCTCTCGCCGTGGGTGGGGGATAACCTGCTCCTTTCCTGGGATTAAAATCACTAGGTGGAGAGACCAGATTCAGGACTAAGCAAACCTGGGGGGGGGGGGGGAACTCCTGAAAGTGCTAGCCACAACCCAACTGTTGGGGTTCCTTCTGTCTTCACCCCAACCCCTCAGCATCTCCCCTTCAGGGTGTCGCTGAGCCTGGGGCTTGCTGTCGGAGTTCCTGCCAGGTACATTAATGTGTGTGAATTCTGCTGCACTGCTGAGAGCAGGCCCCAGGCCTGGACTTGACAAGCAGACACTGACTTTAATTGAATCCAGATATCCATCTTGTCTGTCTGGAGCTATTTTGTCCAGCTCCCCCTCCTTGCCCCAATCTGATACTCGCTGAATATCTGGAGCTTTAAGCTGCCGCCACCATGGGCCGAGATGCTGGGTGTTGGTTTCCAGGTGGTTAGCTTAAGGACTCAGCGTTCCTCCTCAGCCCACCTGCAGGCTTCCTGTTCCTTAGGCCTGGCAGATCTTGCCCCTTAGGGCTAAGAGCAAAGGGAGAGGTCCCATGGGAAGCAGAGCTGTATATGTGGCGTTGTGTACAGCACTGGGGTCAGGTAGGCGCAAAACTGGAGATTCACAGGTTTTGTCTTCTCTGGAGATCGCGTCACCCTCTCTCCCTTCTTCCCCTCCCACGTGTCCTAGAGTAAGACTGGGGTGGGCAGAGAGCCCCACCACCACCACCACCTCCTGCTGCAGTGGTCGATGAAGGCTGGCGTTTGTTTAGCTTCTCCACTCAATACTCTAATCCTGCCGAAGACCTAATAGACTATTGAGCAGTCCCGGGGGAGGGCCCAGGCATCATCGGGCCGTGTGCGTTGTGTTTTACAGCCGTTCCCGAGCACGCCGCCCGCCTGCAGCGCCTGGCCCAGATCCACATCCAGCAGCAGGTACGAGAAAAGAGAGGAACGGAAGGGAAGGCAGAGGTGGTGAGACACCACCTCTGTCTGAGGAGGCAGCCTTGGGCTTTTCTGACGCCAGCCTGGAGGAAATGTGAGGGTTGATGCTTTGCCTTCCATGTATGTGCCCTGGAGAGGGGAAGGGACTTGCTAGGACCACTCCTCCCCGAGGTGAGCCAGGGAGACACCAGGAGGTGCCCAAGAGCTGGGCACGGTACGTCCTGATCCAGGCTGTGGCCTGAAGTTCAAGAAGGATTCAGAATTGGGGACAGAGGAAGAGGAGGTGTGCACAAGGGGGGATGATGCACTCAGTGGGGGCCCGCTGCCACTCCCATCAATCTTGATTTACGTCAGGCAGCCATTCTGGAGTCTGAATGCATCCCCTTAGCAATCTGTCCCTTTGGCTTTGGGATTAAGTGTCACCTTTTAGGGTTCTGTGTGGAAAGAGTGTTTCTGATGAGACAGAATGTTCAGTGGAAGGTGGGGGCTTCACCCGGCTGACTTTCCTGCCATCCGATTGGTTCTCTAGGACCAGTGCATGGAGATCACTGAGGAGTCCAAAGCTCTCCTCGAAGAATACAACAAGACTGTATCCTTTCTGCTTGCTTAGGACGCTCATGGCTGCTCTCCCCAAGCCCTATCTGTTTCCCTCCTTCCTCGGTCTCACCCCTTGTAGCAGATGTAAGAGCGGTCTGCTCCCTCTTTCAGACTCTAGTTCTTTACCTTGACCAGTGACCAGACAATGCTTCTCTCCAAGCAGTTCGTGCAATGGGATGAGCTGCTCTGCCAGCTGGAGGCTGCCAAGCAGGTGAAGCCAGCGGAGGACTGACTGTGGCCTCACATCCCCTCCCTGGTGGCCTGAGGAACCCAGGCTCCCGGCCCGAGCTGACCCGTCTTTGTAACAAGACAGAGGCAGCTGTGTATTTATTGGCGCCTAAGGCCATTTGTCTAGAGTTGGAGGTCAAGTTCCCTGAGATCAGTTCTCTGTACAGTTAACAATAAAGTGTAAAGATCAGTGGGGGAGTGGATGCTGGTCTAGGATGGGGCGCTAGAGGGAAGAGCTGCCACGCTGCCGAGCAGGTGGACTGGGAACTAGCCGCCTCGCAGGTTGGCCTGCTGGGAGGAGTAGAGTGCTTCCTGCGATGCCCCTCAGTTGATTGGTGTGAATGAGACATTTGTTCATGCTTTTCTGTGCCCCATGCTTACGAAGCACCCTGGTGGGCCCCACAAAACCCCTGCACTGCAGACCACCGTGGGGGTGAAGGGGGAGTCAGAGCAAGGGGAAGTCTCACCAGGTGAGCATGTGGTCCTTTCTCAGGCACAGAAGCCTAAGGCAACAAAGGCAACCCTTGTTGGACGTGACAGGGCAGGGATTTTCAGAACCAGGGGAGGCACCTGTCTCGTGCCGCTGGTTGAGAAAGGGAATCCAAGCGGTTTGGACGTTCTGGGTCCTGGGAGGGGAAGTTGGCAAGGACGGGTAGGGCGAACCAGATGAGAACCGGAGGCAGAAACTGGCACCTTGCTCCACCAAGTGTTTGCTGCCCCCTTGTGGCCCCACGGAGTGCGCGGGCTCCTGACCCCTTCCAGCTGCCCGCTGGTCAGCCCGTCCAGTACCATGTCATTCCAAGTTAGGCACGTTCCAGCCGACATGCAAAGCTGAGAGTCCTCCCACTCCTCTGTCCAAACAGCCGCCAGGTCCTCCCTGAAGCTATCTACTAAGAGCTCCCAATTTCACCTCCTCTCCTATGGTCCCACTGCCCTTTCTCTGGTCCATCAATCCAAACAACGTCACACATACTTGAGCACCTGTCACACGCCGGGCACAGCCACCAGGCACCGAGACTGGGACTCTGCGGCGACTGAGGCTCCATGCCTTCCCCCGCGGCCCGAGCTGCTGCTTCACCTCTCCTCGCCCCTCTCATGCCCTGGGCTCCTCCTGCCACACCAGGGACGCCCAGCAGCTGAGGCAGGCGCGTTTGTCGCCCCGAAGTCCGCTCACTCCAGCACCGACTCAGCCCGCCGGGGTAACACCGCGGGGGCGGGGCACGTCCATCAGGCTCCGCCCCGCCCGGCGTGCGCGGCCCCGGCACCGCACGCACGCGCGCGCGCCATCTTGGCTTCCGACCCTGAGCGAGGCGGCTACGGCGGGGGTCGGTGAGAGCCGGAGCCTGGCGGGAGCGGGGCGCTGGGAGGTCGGGGAGGCAGGACGGACCCTGGAAGCCGCCGGTGGGGATGGACACGGCCGAGGCCGGCCAGGAGGCCCCCAGGCAGCCGTCTGCGTGGGGCTCTGCCGGTTGACTTTAACTTGGTGGATGCTAGTCCGATCCTGGAAGTGTCGGCGCGAGGAGCGCTCGGCCTTGTCTTCTGGATCCCGGCGCGCGAGAGCCGGAGGCGGTGGGGTGGTTCTGTCTTCCCGGAGCACCGAGTCCGGGTTCTTGGCAGGGTCCCCAGGGGCCTAGGGCGTGCGGCTCGTCCCTGGCCACAGGGAGCACGGAGCAAGGGGCCTTGGGGGAGAGGGGTGCAGGATGCGCGGGGCTCCCCAGGCGTGTGCAGGTTCTGATCCATGGACACCTGGGCTGAGGGTGGAGGAAGGCCTGGGTCGCCCTGCCTCTCAGTCACCTGGTACTTCCCTGCAGCAGCAAGATGGAGCACTACCGGAAGGCCGGCTCTGTGGAGCTTCCCGCCCCTTCTCCGATACCTCAACTACCTCCGGATACCCTGGAAATGCGGGTCCGAGATGGCAGCAAAATCCGCAACCTGCTGGGGTTGGCGCTTGGGCGCTTGGAGGGCGGCGGCGCCAGGCACGTGGTGTTCTCCGGCTCCGGCCGGGCAGCCGGCAAGGCGGTCAGCTGTGCTGAGATTGTGAAGCGCCGGGTCCCAGGCCTGCACCAGCTCACCAAGCTGCGTTTCCTGCTGACTGAGGACAGCTGGGTCCCCACCTCCCCTGACACAGGCCTCGACCCACTCACCGTGCGCCGCCACGTGCCTGCAGTGTGGGTGCTACTCAGCCGGGATCCCCTGGACCCTAATGAGTGTGGCTACCAGCCTCCAGGGGCACCTCCTGGTCTGGGCTCCTTACCCAGCTCCAACTGTGGCCCTCGACCCCGAAGAAGAGCTCGGGACATGCGGCCCTGAACGTCTCCTGAGAGGGATTGTTCTCTAGCCCCGGAAAGGCTGGGATGGGATGGCCGTGCCTTCTCTGAGAAGCCCCTGGGACTGCCCAGCGTTCCCGCCAAGGCTGTGGTGGCTGCCAATTCTGCTGACATGCAGGAAGGGACTACTAGAAAAGGGACACCTTGGCTTCAGGATTGTTCTGCTGCTAGCTTTGTAACAGAGGTCCAAGGAGGAAGTTAGGAAATAAAGGTTCTGCCCAGTTGCCTAATGAGCCTCTGTGAGAAGGATTAGGACAGTGGGACTTGCAGAACTTACCCCCTGGGAGCTCATGGGTTGGAGGCAAGCAGGATAGGCTCGAGCTGGCACGGAGCCCATCTATGTCAAGAATCCTCAAGCAGGAAGCTAAATGCTTCGGCTCCTGGGTGGCCCCTTGCTTTGCTTGTGTTATGGGCTCAGCCAGGTCACTCATCTTCTCCACTTGTGGCAAGTGTTCTAGTGGTCATGGTCACAGACTACCAGCCTGCCTGGGTCCGGATCCTGCCTCTACAGCTTGCTAGCAAGCTACTGCTCTGTGCTTAGTGCCTGTACTCTTTTTTTTTTTTTTTAAGATTTATTTATGTGTTGGAAAGTCAGATATACAGAGAGGAAGATCTTCCATCCGATGATTCATTCCCCAAGTGAGTGCAACAGCCAATGCTATGCCAATCCGAAACCAGGATCCAGGAACTTCTTCCAGGTATCCCACATGGGTGCAGGGTCCCAAGGCTTTGGGCTGTCCTCTACTGCTTTCCCAGGCCACAAGCAGGGAGCTGGATGGGAAGTGGAGCTGCCAGGATTAGAACCGGCACCCATATGGGATCCTGGCGCGTTCAAGGCGTGGACTTTAGCCGCTAGGCCATGCCGCCCTGCACTCTGAAGACAGGGATATCGTGGAACTCACTTCATGGCACTGTTAGGAAGTTTAAAGAAGCATGTTTAGATGCTACTTGGGCACATAATGCTATATAAATGCTAATTGCTATTGTTAGTGTCTCAGTTTATAAACATGCCATTTTTGATCTTAAAAATACCTCAGGGGCCTGCAACACTGGCATCCCATATAGGCACCAGTTTTTGTCGTGGCTGCCCCACTTCCAATCCAGCTCCTCCGGTAATGGTCTGGAAAAGCAGCAGAAAATGACCAAGTGTTCAGACCCCTGCCACCCACATGGGAGATGCAGAAGAAGCTCCTGGCTTTGGCTTGACCTAGTCCTGGCCATTGAAGCTATCTTCTTGGGGAAGTGAACCAATGAACGAAAGATGGCTCTTTTCTGTCTATAATTCTGACTTTCAAGTAAAAAAAAAAAGCCTAAAAAAACTCAAAGGGCATAATAGATTAAGCTACCACTTATGATGCTTGTATTTAGTCTCAGTGTCTGGTTCAAGTCTTGGTTACTTGCCTCCTATCCAGCTTCCTGCTAACACACTTGGGAATCAGTACATGGTAGCCCAGGTACTGGGTGACAGGAACCCATGTGGGAGACCTGGCTGGGGTTCCTGGTTCCTGGCTTTAGTCTTGCCTGCATCACTGTTGAGGACTTTGGGGAGTGAGCCAGTACATGGAAGATCTTTGTCTTTCCCTTTCTTGACATTTGTTTGCCTTTCAAATAAATAACATATTCAAATAAACGTTTAAAAATATTGTTTATTTGAAAAGCAAAGTGACAGATACTTTGTTGATTCACTCCTGAAATGGCCACAATGAAGCCAGGAGCTAATGTTGGATATAGGGGCCCAAAGGTCACTTCTCCATTGCTTTTCTCAGGCCATTAACAGGCAGCTGAATAGAAGTGGAGCAGTTGGGACGTGAACCAATCACCATACAGGGTTCTGGCACCACAACACTAGTCAGGTACCTACTGTGCCAGCAGCAGCCCTGGATAATTTTTTTTTTTTTTTTTTTTTTTCCTTTCTTTTTATTTTATTTTTTTTATTTTATTTTTTTTTTATTAATAAAATTTATTTTGACATTCTTTACATAGTTAGAGTAAGAAGGTTCAAGGGCCACAGGAAAGTGGATAATACTAGTATGTTTTCCATATTGTTACCTTCATGTTTATTTTTATTTTTATTTTTATTTTATTTTATTTTTTTTTAATAATCTTAGTTTATTAGGGTACAAAGGGTCACGGGCTACAGGGTGAAAGTGGGTAATATCATTGTTTCCACACTAATATAATCATTTTGCCATGTATCTAGGGTTAGGGGAGTAACAAAGGGGAAAGCCCCACCCTACCTCCCACCCATCCCCGATCCCCAACATGAGGCGCGCTCCAAGGGTCCTGCTCATACAGTTTTGATAGTTCATCAGTTCTGGATTGCTGCCAATCTCTCCGTCCCAACCGTAATGAAACCTATTCAGAGTCTACTGGCTGACAGTCTCTTGATGGTTGGGGTTCCAAGATCAGCAGTTCAGTTCGAGAAATATCCAAAGAAACTTCATCTGAGTTGATCCCAGATCTGATTCTTGAGTGAGTTTGCTAGTACAGACTCCAACACTGTTGTCACACCAATCAGCTTATGCATATGCTGGTCGTTGCGATTGCTGGGTCCGTTCGGCTTCCAGCCCTGTCTTCCTTGTGAACCAATGGGTGTTGTAGTCCAGCTCGATTCTACCCACTTCATACTCGGTCTTCATGCAAACCAGTTGGAGCTACAGCCTAGTTGGGGCGACTCCCCAAAACCCCTACCAGTTCTGCCCCCTACCCTGGTTCCCATGCTTGCCAGTATGCACTGCAGGCTTGTCCAGTCTGTCCCACATCCCAATTAGCTCTCGCACACGTCAATGGACATTGAAGCCTGGTTCAACCCAACCAACCTATTATCCAGCCCATACACCCACTGGCAGGTGCCTTTCTGTCAAGCCACCCCTGCTCCTAGCCTGGGTTTCATGCTGTCCAGTGAGGGTGGTAACCCTGAGGGAGGTGCCCACTATTTCCCTACTAGGCCACACCCACTCCCAGAGTATGCAGTCTCCAGGTAGTTTTGGCATTTGACTTGTCAGAATTGGCTCCTAGTACCAGCCTCTGCCAGTTAACGCTGTGGCTAAGCCCAAACACCCCTCAACCCACTCTAATTTTAACTTGCACCAGTCAGAACAGTCAGCTCACCGTGAGGCCCACAGGTGCTATAGCCCTGCCTAGTCTGAACTGCCCCCATCCGCATTCACACTTTCCAATGGAAGTAGTTATCCAGCAGGGGTGCCCACGTTCCCCTGTTGGCTTTGCCTCCTCCCTGATTGTCACATGTGCTGTTTGTGTGCTGCAGCCACATCTGGTACGGCTCATCTCACCTTGGCATTACTTGTTGTGTACTGGTATGTGTTGCAACCGAACCTGGCTCGGCCCACACTCTGTTCTGGTGCTCGGATTCACCAGAAGGTAATGTGAACAGATTCAGGCTGGTCTGCCCCCAACCCATGCCATGTGTATGCCAGTGGGATAATTTTCATTGCCTGTTCTGGGTTGTTCCCTATTGTGCTTCTTGCGCTTACCTGCATGGGACTGTGTCCTGCCAGAGAAGTTGCCCAGGCTCCTCCACCAGAACCTCTCCCAATGCCAGTTTTCGCGCATACCAGTGGGTCCATGAGCCGGCACTACTCAGTTCGCCTGCTATCCTAGGAGGAACAGTGGCTTTTCCTGCCTGGCCTCCGACCCAAGCTGGTTCTTGTTGTTGGATATTTCAACCCATCCATGGCTCTTCCATACCCCTACCCAGCTCACACATGGTTCAGTAAGGGCTGAGACCTAACCTAGTCTGTCACACAACCCTCCCTGGTCCTCCAGAGCACCAGATGGTGTTGGAATTTGGCCTGGCTTGGTGCTTCCCATCCCAGTCCACAATTGTGCCAAGTGAGATTACGATCGTATCCTGATCAGAATGTAGCCTCAGTTCCAGCCCATGCGCTCCTTGGTGGGAAACTCAACCCAGCTAGGGTGTCCCGTTATTTCCCCAACCGGGCCTCTGCCCTGCCATAGAGCAGGTGTAGGCCGGTGGTTGTTCTGTCTCCGCTTGGCAGAGCCCCTCACTTGTCCTGGCCCCTTGGATGCTGTGGCTTAGTGCCTCTGCCTCACACAGATCAGTATGTGCAAGGACCTACCTGGCATGAGCTGTGCTCCAACCTGATTTCTGTTGTTACTTGTGAGTTAAGGTTTGTTCAGCCCTGCCCATTCTGCCCCCTTCCAGTGGCAGCCCGGCCCACCCCACATCTTGTTTAAAGATGCACATTTGGGTGCTGCTGCCTTGACCTACCCTGACTGTTGTGGATTCCTTTACCCATGAGTGATGGCAGATGGCGTGGTCACACCTAGCTTAGACCATTGCAACCCCAGCTTGGGAACTAACCCGGGGGACTTGTATTCCAAAGGGTTGGGCCCACACAACCCCACAGAGCCTACCCCCAGCCCAAGTTCTCTTGTGTGCTGGAGAGTGTCTTGATCCTGCCAAATGTGACCACTCCACAACTCCAACACTCAGTCGGGCAATGGTACCCAACACTGCCAAAGAGGCCCCCATCCATAGCTTCGGTGTGGGCTAGTATGTGGTGATCAGTGATGTTCTATACTAATATCCCATCTCTGTATTCATAATTGAGCTGTTGCATCTGTCTTACTAAAATTATCTTCTGGACACTTCCCCCAAACCATTAGGTCTTGGTCCCCTTGCCTGCTTAAATCTTTCATGACCCTGTCACTGAGAATACCCGAAAATTCACTTTGCACCTACACTCAACCTAGTCTTAGTCATGAGTGACCCCAGGCAGCAACTACATATCTTGAAAACCCCAGAGTTTGCCCTTCCGGGCGGCCAGCAGGCAATGCCTGGCACCATGTGGTGCACTGGCCGCCCTGGGGGAGGCCGAGGACTCGTTCACTGCCTTGTGGCAGTGTCTTTGGCGTGAGTCCCCCGCATTGGGTCCGACCCGGCAGGGGCACCCCCCACAGTAGCCACACTGCAAGGAGCGTCAGTTGCCCCAGAGCCCAAGGACCGAACTCCTCCCAAACTCCCCCAGCCGCATGGTCTTAGCAGCTGGGCGGAGCTAGGAATTTCCACCCAGTTCCCAAGTTCCCTCATGGCGGACTTACCCTGAGGGAAGAGCTCTCTTGGGTCCTGGGGGAGGCCGAGGACTCGTTCACTGCCTTGTGGCAGTGTCTTTGGCGTGAGTCCCCCGCATTGGGTCCGACCCGGCAGGGGCACCCCCCACAGTAGCCACACTGCAAGGAGC